GATAAATTCTTTCACGCGTTCAAGAGCTCAGAACAAAAAACAGAATGTTTCGGTGCTCGACAACCCTTCTTCTTCACTTATATATAAACCCGGAACTCCAACTTCCGCCTTCATTCGTGAATATTTATATGCACGTTTCTTATGAAATATATTAGAATTTTAAAGGATATCGGAGATCAATGAGAAAAATTCACATTACATATGTTGCCATTTATTACAGAGTGCAGTTTTTGCAGGCGACTGGAGAGAAGTTCGTTCAAAAGTCGAAATCACGAAGTAACTGAATTATCTTAGGATTATGCTGCACGATAATTAACACTTCAGTCCTACTTAAGTGATCTCTCCGAGTCGAAGACGAATTTCAGAATTCCGGTTTACATTTAATGAGTAAGCACATCTGTTGTAATTGCCCGACCTTAATAACTCTGTTTTCTTAAATTTATATTGTGGACATTGCTAAGGTAGGTGAACGACCAGTCTGTCTGTGCTCTTGTGTCAAAATACGCCGATGTTTGCCGGGGAGACTGAGTGGTCCTACAAAGGCAGGTTAAGCCTGGCTTATATCTAGGTGAATAAGCAGGATTAGGAGGCGGGGCTGGATTCCGTCAAAGGAATATGTCTGTATCCCGGGGGTGTCAGTCAATTCGGACAACTGATTACACATGTAGTAGCGGGTTTGCAAGTATGAGTGAAAGACAGCCAGATCTAGCATCAGGCTGAGGACGACGGAGAAAGGGAAAAACGGTTGAAAAACTTCTGACTACCAGAACCACCACCACCACCACAACCACAGACGGATAGTTGGACTGACATGAAAATTGATCACTCCGACAGGAAAAGTTGTCCACTGCCAACAGTCCTGACCACGAATAACCAGGGGGAGGGACAATGATAACCTGCGTGTTGGAAGGATTATTGTGAAGGAGGCTGACGCGGCGTCCACCTCAGTCCCTCTTCCCACACGTATCGTGTTCCAATGACAAGCCAACTCAGAGAGACTAGATATGGACGTGGGCGCAGAGGACAACCAGGCACAACGCCACCAACTTCGCTTGCCACACGAGCTGATCACCCACTCCATAGGAGGCGGACTTCAACAATTCTGCTAAAATGTTTGGCAGCAGCTATCGTAAGGTTAAATTAAAGAGTCATTTCTGCACACATGTAGGCAATCTCCCGAACAATGATTTCTATCGATGCCTAATAGCCCTAAGTCCTGTCAGTTTTATTCTGGTGAAAAGTGGACAAACCAGGTCGGTCTTGTTACTCTTTTTTTCCCATAGTGTACCGTTAGAAACACCAAGTCAGACCAGCTGAAGTCATGATCAGGCTCAGCGACCGGTATGGCATAAGACACCCGTATAAGGCGCGTCACCCACCTAGCTGATAACCGTTTATGTATGTCACAACATGGTCACAACATGGTCAGTCGACCATGTCAGCCACCGCGCCCATTCCCCACTCCAGTCTTCTGACCGGCTCGGACAGCGGCTGGGGTGTGGGGATGGGAAGGGAGAGTGAGGTCGACGACTCAGCGCACTTTCTCCTCACTATAAACAATCTGACGCGCTTGAAGCTATCACGGTGCGTTAAAAGCCGTGGCTTGGAAGGTTGCCAACTGACGGGGTACCTTGGACGTCCTCCTTCACTGGAGGCGGTCTGAGAGTCAGGCTGCAATGACTCCTTTTTAATGTGGCCTTTATGGCATTCCCACCGCAGTGTGGGATCCGAGCCAGGCGTTGGCGGCACGCCCAGGTGCGGCTTCGGCCGTGCCAGCCTCCAAATCTCTGTTGTGTTGGTTGAAATCCTGGTTATTGCTGTGTGGACCAGGGGGTGTGGTGGAACGCCAAGGTGAGGATCCGTCCGAGCCATCCACCTGCGGCCTCCCTCGTCTCCGGTCTTCTTGACTCTGTCTTGACACCGGGTCCAGGCGGGGGAGGAGGAGAGAGTGTAGGTAGATGCTACGCAAGTCTACCGGCACTATAAACCCCTGCGTAAGTCACCGTCCCTGCTCCCATTGCTGCTGCAACTGTGGGGCACACGATGGACATCATCGAAACCGATGGTCGAACTGTCATGTCACAACAACGGCGTCACTTCTGCTGACCTGCCTGCTCAAGACCACACGACCGATAAATCATTCATATTGATCGCTAAGGACTACCAGTATTCCATGGACGTGTGAGCTTGTTTCAGTCCTAGGGGATTGTGCATAATTTGCCTCACAGCTTCCTCTCATATAGTAAGTGGACTAACTCATGAAATCTCATCAGAAATTCCAAAATGCGTTTCCGTGTCGACAAGATTAATAATTTTTGGGCTGCATCCAAAAACCACAGTCCGTAAAAAAATTATTACCTAAGCTGCATGCATATTTTCATTGATTTTCGATGCCCTTAAAGAATCAATTATATTTCATGGAAAACAGGCACAAAAATATTCATTTTTTGCTCATTCAGTAGAAAATTACGTCTTCGTTAAATTTTACATGTGAAGGAAGGGTATAATTTGGTTTTATAAAACTTTTTCAATTCCCGAATAATTTTGAACCCACTCTACATTCAGGGTTTGAGAACCACAGGCGGCGTATTTTCTGCGTGCGGAAAACCATACATTTCTCTACGATAATAAAGGGGGACCGTATAGGGACCATATAGAGACATGACGTATTATGGAATCCCATTTCACGGTATTAAAAGCCCGCAATTAGAAACTTTTTTAAAATCGAATTATACCCTTCCTTCGAGTGTAAAATTAAAAGAAGACATAATTTTCTACTGAATGAGCAAAAGATTGAATATTTTTGTGCATTTTTTCCATGAAATATAATTAAACCTTTAAGGTCATCGAAAATCAATGAAAACATGTATGCTTCATACGTAGTCACTTTTCAACGAGTATGATTTTTCGACGCTGCGAAAAAGATCATTTTTTTAAAGTCGGCGCCCTGGGGTAACTGAATCATTATAGAATTATGCTGCCTGATGATTGGTTTTAAAACCCTATCTAATTAATCTTTTCGGAACGGAAACGCATTTCGGAATTTTTGCTGAGATCTAATGATTTAGCCAGCCTACTTTACCTGCTATGTACTAATCACAAAACAACGTGAAAGGCCTGAAATAGGGTGCGGGTATGGTGGTTTGTATGGTCAAATCTCCATCGAGGCGTGTCGCGCACATTCCGCCCCCACAAGCACAAGAATCAGAATTCAAACTCTCATGGCAGAGGGTTGTCATAAGAGCGGCTTTACGGTGTCAGTGCTGCCTGAACCCTCACCCTGAGGAGGAAATATTTGCGCTGCCGGTTGGTACTCATGCCATCTACTATTTCTAATGAGACGTGGTGGTTTAAGCAGGTCAGCACTCCGATGGTAAGGAAAGAATGCGCGGGATCTAAGTTGGATCAGCTTCCCTGTCTGCATCTATTTCCATCATGTACACACGACAAGTCTGAGTCAAACTGCTCTCGGGTAATAATAAGCATGATAGTTGATGTAGATTAAAGACTCTATATAGTGCTTTAGCGCACTTAAAACGGGCTACGTGGCAGAGGTGCTGAACCAACATGGGGGCTAGATCGGAGTCCGGCAGGCGTTATCGGGAATGAGCAGCCGACACGTATGTCAACACTGGGGGTGTAGTGGCGCGTCTGGTTGCAGGCTCACATTGCGCCCATTAAGATCTGCGTCACCACCCCATTTTTGGTGCGGTATAAGGCCCTGGTCAGTGGCCGATGTGAACCAGGGGTGTTGTGGTACGCCCGGGTGGGGATTTACGCCGTGCCAGCCGCTGCCGGTCTTCTTGACTTTGTCTTGGCACCTGATCCAGATGGGGGGAGGGGGGGTTGGGGGGAGGAGAGCGTGCGGTAGACAGTGCGCAAGCCTACTATCATTATAAACTAATTCACACGCAAGTCGCCGTCCCTGCTCTCACCCTGCTATTCAGCACACGGTGTGCATCGTCCAAAACGGCGATCGGACTGTCATATAGTACTTGTCGCACGCATAATTGATGATGCAGAGCCTACAGTCTCACATGTCGTACACCTGCTGCTTACTCAACCTACACGAACCAGACTTCACTTGTTAAGACGTCGTGCTAATGACGATTTTCATAAAATTGCTGAGAGCATTGCTGACTGCCAGCTGGCCACCTTCAACGGCGCATCGATTAAATAGTTATGACAGTACAAGAGCGCATTAAGATTATTACTGATAAAGTCAAATGTTCTAGAATGTGCCTACCTCTGTCTACCCTTGCCCATACGACTTCAGTGTGAAATGTAAAGCCAATTAGATTGGGTTAAAAATCGCGTGCGTCGACAAATTTAGTACTTCACCTTCTGATAAGTGTCCCGTACACAGTTCACCCCTCAGCCATCATCAAAGCGACTTCACCGGGACCGCTCTCCGTCATTAACACAGTTAATTTCACTCGTTACCTATCACACTGCGTTTCCGTAAATTCGATAGATACAAAGCAGTGTTTTGCCACTAGTAATCGACAGCGACAATTTCCACCTGACTCCCTTTGGGGATTTGATGGATTCGGGTGCTCAATTCCAGCACCGAGTGTATAGCGAGTGGGTCAGATTGATGTTTAGTGTGTTCTGAGGTAATTAACGAAATTTGTCCTATTAAGGGCTCGTGGTTTCTCTCTAACTTTCCTCCTACTTTAAACCAATCCACCTACATCAGTTATATCGGAAATTGTAAGTATGGGACCCGGCAAAGATTTCAAAGTCGCTGCATGCAACGGGTAAATGGAGCAAAAGCTTCCCCTGCAGTTTCACACAACTGCACCTACAGATTTTATTTGCACATTTACAGCAGTCCCATAATTTGTTTCGTGGACTACTCTGCATAACAGAAAAAGAAAGTCACACGTTTATACAATGAACTTTCGATCTTTAAAGTTCGTTAAGTATGCATGCGTCAAAAACAGCAAAGAACTCGCTGACAGCAGATCTATTTGGTTTTTGTCTAGGCTAAGTTCGACTCATTGAACTAGTTCCATGATGGAACAGAATATGCTTGGCCCCGAGACCCGAGATAAGGTTACAGATCCCGAGGAATTCTTGCTTGTAGCTTCTAGCCACCATCGGGGCTGAGAGGCTTGAAAGCCATAAGTTTGTCCTCCAATGAGAGCACGTAAGGTTATTTGCCCAAAACCATCCACATAATCGTCATCGCCATCATCTTCATCAGTGACAGCAACAGTAGCAACAACAACAACAACAAAAACAGCACCCGCACGACCATCATAACCATCATCATCATCATCATCATCATCATCATCATCGTTACCATCTCCCAAAGGATGCAAGCCACTCATCACTGGCATCTACGAGAGTGGGAGTTAAAACGACGAAATTAAGCAGCATAGGGAGCAAGACTTTTTCATTGTCACTCTCCGTGGCGTTATTCCGAGAGCACAAATCCCAGGAATTCCGCGGATTTTTCATCAGAAAGGAAGTTAAGTGAATTTGCCTTGACGTGCTAGTTTGCTAACGTCGCCTGGACCCTCGAAACTAAACCCGTAACTAGAGGGCTAGAGACACGTGCTGCGCGGAAGTGAGTCATAAAACAGCTGAACCAAACGAAATGAGATATACATTGTGCATGATATAACTGGGGCGATATATATGTATATATTGAATAACTGAAGTGGTATATATTATGACAGATGGGCGCTCACCGATCAGGTTACAGAACATGTTCGTTCTGTTGTGCCTTGGAGCTTATACTTAAACCCTCGCAGGCAGTCGCACAGCGACTAGTGATAAATGTTGTTAAGGTGATACCGACAAAGACAAGGGAGACCGGAATGGCAATTTCTGGCTTATTAGCCGTCATCAGCCAGTCATACCCAACCCCAAGTGTGGATCACTTGAGATTCGAACCCGGATATTTGGTCATGGAGTTCAACGCTCTGCCATTGAGCCACGGGCCCGTTGTCCTGTCGGTTGTGATCGGGAATATCAACGGGCCCGTGGCTCAATGGTAGAGAGTTGAACTCCATGACCAAATATCCCGGGTTCGAATCTCAAGTGATCCACACTTGGGGTTGGGTATGACTGGCTGATGACGGCTAATAAGCCATAAATGGCCATTCCGGTCTCCCTTGTCTTTGTCAGTATCACCTTAACAACATATATATATATATGAAAAATAGAAGAGGTTCTTCGGAATAGTCGAGTTGTACTCGTGAATTTTCGAGCTGGTGACACCAACCCGTCGTCAGACGTAATGAAAACGAGGGAGAAAGTTATGTTGTCACAGTAGACCAGTTAGTGTGATAAGACAGAACAGACCACTGACGTGTGAGGGGGGGGGTGGTGGGGTGGGCTCCCGAGGTCATGGTAGGTCACTGAGTGAGGGGCGGGGAAGGGAGAGGAGGCGGAACAATTACGGCGCACCATGCTGGAGGGGGAGGGTGGGTGGTGTATCAGTTGGAATGCGGGCGGCTGTATTCGCGGTCGTTGATGCGTGATTAGGGCAGGGGGCAGTCATTCGTAGGTGGGCTAACTCATGAAATGTCAACCGAAATTTCGAAATGCGTCTTCGCTTCGAAAAGATTAATTATGTAGGGCCGTAACACTAATCAGCCTGCAGTATAATTCTATAATGATCCAGGTTCCTCGGGCGCCGAACTTTGAACGAACTTATTTCCGACCGCATGCAAGAGCTATACTCTGCTAGAAATAACGACATAAGTAGCATGCAATTTTCTATTTTGGTTTACGAAGACCTCGAAAATTCCATTAAATTTCATAGAAAACACACATAAAAATATCCATCTTTTACTTTTTCCGTAGAAAACCACATCGTCTTCCAATTTTATGCTCGAAAAGAGGGTATAATTCGGTTCTAAAAGAGTTTCAAATTGTGAGATTTTTTAATACCGTGGAATGGCCGTTCATAAAGCGTCATGCGTCTGCATTTACGAAGGTGGCTTGTAGAGTTAACAATACTGCCCAAATCCACTGCTTACTTTTATGAACCCTATATGGTCTCCCCATAATACAGTAGAGAAATACCTGGTTTTTTGTACACGAAAAATATACGGCCTGTAGTTTTGAGACCCTGAATGCAAGTGTAACAGCAGGTCCGGTTAAAAATTATTCGCGAATTAGAAAAGTTGTTTAAAACCGAATTATACCCTTTTTTCGAGTATCAAATCAAAGTAGTCGTGATTTCCTATCGGATAAGTAAAAGTATGAATATCTTTATGCATGTTTTCCAAGGGCTTCGAAACTCAATCGGAAAATTGTATGCTTCATAAGTAGTCATTTTTTGCAGAGTATAGTTCTTGCATGCAGTCGAAAATAAGTTTATTCAAAAGCCGACACCCTGTGGTAAATGAATTACTAAAGAATTTTGCTGCATTTTACAATCCTAGTAAATTAATCTTTTCGAAACGAGAACGCTTTTCGAAATTTCGGTTGAGATTTCATGAGTTAACCCACCTACAGTACATAAATAGTTAATATTCCCGATCACAGCCGACAGGTCAACTAGCTCTTAATTCATTTGCTCGAGCGTGTGATTTAACGGCCAAAGAGTAGGCTTCGAATCGTGAGTGCTGCAAACCGTGGGCTGCGTGTGGCTGACCGATGACGGTTAATAAGCCCGAAGCGGCCATTTCAGTCTCCCTTATCGTTTCCGGTACTTCACTTCGCATATAATATTAGTCGTTGTTCGACCGCCTGCGAGAGGTCTAGATTAAGCCTCAAGGCACAAAGTGACGAGCCTGCCCCATAACGGGATCTGTGAACGTACTTATATCAGGGGATAATAGTCTCCTCCGTCTATTTTCCTTCAATTATCGCAGTTTTTCAAAATTTTTTGTAGCTTCACTTTTCAAAGTTAAATTTAATCCCCTGGGACACAGTTATTTAAATCCAGTCCATAATCTCGCATGAAAAGTAACCTGGTGTACGTGAGTTATTTTATGAGGTATAATATTCACCAACTGTTGGACAATGTTTCGCATGCTATGCGTATTATGGCTAAGACGGTAAACACGTCTTAATTTAACAACTGAAAGCAAGTAGTAATCAGAGGCGCAGGTGGACATTTGACCGATATGTTGGGATATTTTGCCCATAATGTGTGAAGTATTACAAGCGATCGTACTACCATCGTCAGCGCATTCAAGTGTGTTCAGTTGTGTAATTGTCAAAAGAAGCGCACTCATCCTCGAATACGCAGCTCACCATAACCATGACTCACATTCAAATAAGAGCACGTTTGAATACAACAAGATATAGTCGAAAAATACGCCTTCTCCTATGCCTTCCAGAAACGACAGAACAGGTCGCATTCTAGCCGTATATCGTTCTTTATTTATTCCCAAACGTAGTGTGACGCTAACAAAAGCCCAAAGACATGTAGACCACCTTGCACCGTGTAACACGCAGAAAAGAGATAACAATTTTTATTATATGAGACTGAAACATATTACTTCGCCATTCTAAGCCGTAGTTTTCGCTTTGACTGTGGGGTGGTGACTTTACGGTAAGGGGTGGATTGCGGTCCTCAAGAGAGGTTCGTCTCAAGCCCACTCGCTTGACATTCTCAAAATCTGAGATTAAGGAAAGTTGTCCTATTTGGGTAGGACTGTATCCATCAAACACTTAACTGAGTTTGTTGAGAGGACACGGCCTTGACGAATGTCAGCTTTGACGGCCAAGTATACGCTTGCTTTTCTATACGCACTTCCATTACCGTATCTACTACTATAGTTTACGAGTTCCGAGAGGCGATATCAGTCTCCGGAGAAAACAGTTCTTACGAGGGGATCCCACGCTTTAAAAATTGCGCCGGACAGTACTCTTATGCAATAAACAGTGATTATATTATCGGGATTCACGTAAACGGATTATCTGTTTGACAGTTTCTGTCAGGGCAAAAGTGGCCATCGAGTTTGTTTTGTCTTTCCTAACTTCAATGTCCGGAAAAGATCTGTTCAGATGCTATTGAAAAATCATTAAGGGTAACATTAATTCGACTTATTCCCATGTCGGTTGGACATTTTGATTTGTTTCTTTCGGCTCTCAAAGAAAAGAAATAAACTTTCGGACAAGGATTACGTATAAGCGCGGAGTAAGAAAATGCTAACTGATGTATAACCAATAAGCAAGTGTTTTGAAACTCCTGCTTTACTGGCAGGCGCACGCATTCCGTCTAACAATATTTTGAATATCTTTTTACGACTTGACGGCTCTCCGTGCCGAATCTCTCTTAAAAATGCGCTTTCCCCTTACTAAATAATTTTGTGTGTGGGGGGATGCAAAACAGTGAGTCAATGTGGACATTTCAGCAGCACCGAATCTCCGGGGCGGTACAGGTCAGAGACTGTCATCCTGCCGACGAAGGGACGACCAAGAACTACCGAACTACATCCACTACTTAAAATATTGTAAGCAGTTCTCCATAGTCTTCCCTTACCCCACGCATATGCTCAAACCTTACCGAATTGCACTACCCACGTCTTTTGGGTAGGACTTTGTACGTCATAGGAGCTGAAGTATCTTCGTTAGCCACTCGAAATTATCGTCAGAACGTTTTTACCGAGGGCCAGCTGCAGGCCCTCCCTTCAAAGACACGGAGGTGCCGGGTTACTTCTGGACCTTCGACAATGGGGGGCTTGCTCGATCGCAAAGATTTCACAGACAACGTCCATGGATAGCCCTATGACCATCTTGACAATGGGCTTTACCTGTGCAGGAACTTGTCACTCGGCCAGATAAAAGGTGCGCCTGTTTTTGTTTTGATCGACTAACTGACTGCCTTCTTGACTGTCCTGAAACGAAGTCTAAAATAAAAGCTAAAATAATTCCATTTGCCTGACGTCGGGGTTTCCCCCCAAGAATGATGCGTGATAAACTGAATAGCCTGAACATCAGAGTTCGAAATGTTCTGTTCTTGAATAAAGCATTCATATCGCTAACGAAAAACATGTGACCCAGTCTTCCTCCACAGCGCACAACCTTATATCATTCGCTTTCAGAGGGACAAAACAGTTATTAGTATAGATGCGTTAACGTCCGATTGTTGTGATATTTCGGAATCTGTGAATGCCTACCTTTTTAAGCGGAATGACCTTCTAGATTTCCTTCAGATATACATGTGGGCATTTCCTACCGTCGTTACCGGCGATGTCCATCGTGCGCATCACAACAGGGTGGGACGCAGGGACAATAACTTGCAAGTGAGTTAGTTTATAGTGATAGAAGTCTTGCGTGACATCCACTGCACTTTTTTCTCTTCAACCACCTAAGCTCGGTGCCGAGAGCATCAAAAAGACCGGACGCGAGATCGTTCGCCTAAAGTCTTACGCACACAATCGTAGGTATGGCTTTAAGCTCAGCTCCGTCCATTTACAAGAATGCGGTTAACTAAAACCGTTCTCGGACGTCTGGGCAACTGAACAGATGTTTCTTTGGTTACCTGCAAGCATGTTGAGACTTTGGTCGGCATTGTCACACGGATTGCCAATCCCGAACTTATGTTGGCTCTTGTGGTCACAATTGCCAAGATAACTATTCCACTCCCCTACAAAAATTTAGACTCAGCTGGAGGAATCAAAGAGGACTTCACTTTCTGAGGACTGCCAGAGCCGTCCGCGCTTTCATCGACGTTCGTTTTCGGAATCTGAGTCAAGATAACACTTTAATTAATCCCCGAGACTGTGCAAATAATGTGCCTTCTTAAAACTCTTGGAGCGACATTTTTCGCCAGTTGTATTGACAAGTTCAACATCCTGCCAGTCGCAGACGGTATGATTCGGGCTGCCGAGTTCCTACCAGTGTAGCATATTTCAGTTCAGTTCTGTCTTATTAAGGGAGGGATAGATGAACGCCGTTGGACTCCCCAATGGTTACAAAACTTGAACTTACAAAAAGAACGACAGTTCAAATCAGCATTCCAAGCTACGTCTCAGGCATTATGATTTTCATTGTTCCATAGTCAAAAGTACGAGCATTCATTTGGCGTTGCCAATTTTTATTTTATTTTTTTCGGTAGGCTATGTGCTGCAGTCAGCACAACAAAGTAGAACTTAGCACCACACTCTACGAATGAATTACAGTTATTTATTCATGACAACTGCAAACAACCTCAGAAAATTAGACTGGAGCCGTTTATACATCTGTTTGCTTTCCACAATTTTCAGGACAGTTCGATTTCGCAGAGTATATTACAGCCAGTGACAGAAAAACTATCCGCTGGTAAACAGAGGTCTGCAGAACCCCTTCAGAAAACTGTTGCCCGTTAGCCGTTCGTACTACGGAGGAATCTAATGCCGACCATCTCTATGCGTCAAATCTTTCCTCTTTTAGAGATCAGACATCAACACGATAGCATCCTGATTGTTATCAACGTCGGCCTAAGCCGTACGTGGATGGGACCGCTTGGTTTTGGCCTCGTTAGACGGCCTGTGCCTTATCGGCATTCAGAAGCGCGGGTGACGTTAGCTCCCGGCCCAGCGTACGGGAAAAGACAGGAAGTTGCGCAACCGTCCACATGCGCAAATCAGCGCAGTCCTCATTAATGTGAATCTGACGTTTTTGGATCTACCGCGACGCGCTGAGAGTCGGGGATTGGATGACTGTCAGATTACGGGATAAAGAGGTTCTCATGGACACATTTAGGAGTAACTGGATGACTGAGAATCATTCGGCAGCCGCTCCGTCTCACTGTGGCCTTTATGGCACTTTTACGCATGTGGGATCCGAATCGCACTTACCGAAGCCTGATTCATGTAGTAAGGAACATGTGGCGTGTCACAAGTGTGCGTGAAGTATCTAACTTCGTCAGACACTGCGATCGAACCCGTCTCCGGCAGGTGTAGTGCACTGTCATAAGGACTGCAACAGACATCGCCGAGAAACACCAACTAGCGGCGGCCAGGGCGAAAAGGGAAGTTCGCAAGTTGCAAATGCTGTGAGTCAACAGTGAAAGCTCCCTGAGCCTACCGTCGTGTCCACAATGTCAACGGACATTACGGGCACGGACGGATCTTAATGAGCACCTTCGAACCCGATACAGTGTCAAATTGGCAAACGCACTTCCCACATCACACAGCATCACTAGCATCACAAATAAAGACTCATTTTCTACCAGAGTATAAAGGCTACCAATCCATACTTCCATCAGCAATGAAAATACAACTCCAACTCGCTCTAATTCTGACCGTAAACTCAAACCACATAATCGGCCTTAGCCATCGCAATGCGACCGATGGACCAATTTGTGGAGTCTGGCAATACAACCGTCACGTACGCCTTATCTGCGCACACTGCCCAAATGACAACAAGATTTTGCGTATGTCTATTCGATCAAATACGCATCAACGGATACCCACGGTAAAGTAGCAAAACCCAAACCTTCTTGAAAAAGTTCTTTATCTGCTCATACAAAGTATGTTGAGGGTACACATGGGCCCACTCGGTCACGCCCATGCTCACTAGCAATCAGCGCCACTTCACAAGTAACTCATGCAACAGTCATGCGATACGGTCAGCCAGCGCCATCATAATGGACGCAAAGACAGACCGAGTGAACACCTCCCTCCCGTGTGTTAGCGAACAAGCACACATGTGGTACGCGTGGGCGAGGGCTTGCACGCCAAGTCGGTTACACCACTCAATCTTATCATCAGCTAGTTGACAGTCTTAGGCAGTTATGTGGTGTATTGAAGAGGGGGACAGAGTGGGACCAAGGCGAGGATCCGTCCGAGCCATTCACCTGCGGCCTCCCTCGTCTCCGGTCTTCTTGACTCTGTCTTGACACCGGGCTCAGGCGGGGGAGGAGGAGAGAGTGTAGGTAGATGCTACGCAAGTCTACTGGCACTATAAACCCCTGCGTAAGTCACCGTTCCTGCTCCCACAATGGAGTTTGTGGGGCAAACGGTGGACATCATCGAAATCGATGGTCGAACTGTCGTGTGTGTGTGTGTGTGGCAAAAGAAGGCTTTGGCAGTAACTCTGTCCACACCCACTGCCCATTGTCTCGGTTTCGTTTTACCCTTGAAAGTCAGCGGGTGTGGAAGAGGGAGCGAGGTAGGTGCAGCGCACGTCTGCTTCAATGTACGCATGAAAAACGGCACACAATGCTGTGGACCCTCCTTGCTGGGCATTTGCGAACCTAGTCGTTCTCTATGGTGGAATTATCTAGTGTTCAAAATGAGAGGCGCTGATGAACACTGACCTGCATGAGACTAATGACGGCTGACGTTTACACACCCGTCACACCGTCCACGTCCACCCTAGCAGAGTGGGGGAGGGTAAGGGCTAACTGAATCGCCGTTGTTTGCCATCTGGAGTGTGAAGGCTACTTTTTTCAAAAGCCTCGAAATGTCTCGTGCCTCCCATAACACCTCCTACGCCTACCACAGTTTTTTTATCCGTCTGGACATCGGTGCAGGAGTTTGCTTCGTGCAGCTTCTCTACAGTCGGGGGAGGAAGGTGACGACAACCCCGGGCTGACGTCTGACTCACCACTCGCACACAACTGACGGTTCGACGGGTCTCAATAGCTGTCCATCAGGTTCTCCACTCCTTTGTCCTATTTTCTTAAATGCAGTCCAGAAACCGCTGAATACATAGGTAGCGCTTTCTTTTGTCTGTTGCACGAAGGGTCATGATTGTGGGGTAGTTATACTGTTATTGGTTGAGGTCAGCGAGTAACTCGCCCCGTGGGAACCGCAGTCCACAATAATGCCTGAATTGTTGTGACGTGTAGTTCAAAGCCGTCAATCAGGCGGGGAACTTGTTGACATTCACCATTGATAGATTGCTTGGGACAAATTGGAGCACGGACATATTTCACCAGCTAAAACTTAATTAGGAATACGGTGTATGCAAAAACAAATTGACCTGCCGTAAAGCCCTTTAGCATTTTGGCAAGTGACCGGCTTCGCATGGAAAAAAGGTAAGCGTCGCCTTGAGGATAAAAAACTTGAGGAGCCTGATGTATGTGTAAAAGCCTGTAACTGAATAGTAAAATCAGCCAAGTGGACAAGTGGGTCAATATAAAAAAATTTCGAACAGAAAGCTATTTTGTGACCTAAAAATAAGTCCAATTCCCTGATTCCGTCCCGCACTTTGAGTGAACATGTAATGAACTTCTAGTTCACGACCAGGGAGGGATGTGTGGACATTCTATGCTCTTTTCTGTCCAGTCGTTTAAGCTATTCGACACAGTACAGTACCATATTTTTGCCAAGATCATAAGGCCAAGGTCAGCAGAGTAAAACTGTCCCTGCTGCTCTGACGACTTTGGTTTTGGTGTCATTGACAAAATGGGTACAGTTTGTTGACAGACGTAAACAGGCTAGAAATGTCTTTTCGGTTTTCCTTACCCTTGGGGACAATATGCCCAAATTAACGATTGTCCGTCGCTATGCGACGGACTGTCAGCTTCGTAGACCATGGAGTTAGCGCAAAACAGGACATCGTACTCCGTCCTTAAGTCACCCCCTGGCAAGGGATACTTTCACGCGATATGCCCATTAGCCAGCTGGTTGCATGCTCAGTGCTGGGTATTTTTCGTAAAGTTATGAAGACAGATGCATAAGTCTGTCGAAAGTACCACAATTCCTGTGAACAGTTGCAGAGTATTGATTTTCAGGATTCCAGATGGCAATGGGACGTTAAATACGACTAATATAGTGTGCTTTCCGTGCTCAATCATGGTATTCTCTTTACTATAGGCTCGTTGACCACATCATAGACCGTCTTTAATATACTACTGCTGAGCGTGAAGAGCGAACATTTGATGTGATCCTCTTCTTCTTCCATTTTGGCAATGCTGGCAAACTTACACCGATTTCATACACTTGAAAAGATAACCTCTATGTGAACTACAAGCTGAAATAAAGCCTTTCTGCACCCTATCTGCTTTGAGGGACTTAACGACCTGCTAACTTACTTTTGAAGTTCTAACACCCTTTTTAATTGTGTATTTCCTGACTTCCGTGAAACTAATCATGGATGAGAGATGCTAAATTTTACCTAAAGTAACAGGAACTTGCGACAACAGGATTACCTTCCGTGTCTTTTGATTGGGCCCGATGGATGGCCAGAAGACTTCTTTGTCCAAAATATAGTAAGGACAACTCGACTGTCAAAAACAACAATGACTAACGGGTGTCCCACAGCAGGATAGGCACAGAGAAGGTGACTTGTGCAGCATCTGCCGCACTTTCTTCTCCCTTAACCATCTGAGCTCGGTGCCAAAACAGTCAAAAAAACTGGAGGCGAGATCGCATTTCGTGACTGATGAGTCCAAACCGCTAGGCTACATGTGCCAAGCACGCCTGGTCTGAACACGAAGAACGAGGTTTTCCCACAAACAAGAAGGGGGGCGGCTCGGATCCCAACTGAGTTGGAGTGCCATAGACGCCACATAAAGAGTGAGCCATGTTGACCGTCCTGAGAGGGGACCGGGTTGCGCCGCCAGTTTACAATCTTCCGAAACACGACTCTGAGCGCACAGAGATTGTATAAAAGTGCGTCAGACTGTTTGCGGTGAGGAATATGTTCTGATTGCCATGGGGCTGCAGGCCCTGGAGATTACCTCAACTTCTCTTCCATGTCACTAGCCCTAGTCCATCGTCCGAGTCAATCAGTTATCAGATATGGGGATCGGATGTAGGTAGTTGGCGCGGCGCGAGTTGCATCGAGGCTCGCCACCATACATTCATGTGTGGCATTCGTTATGGGCACTCTAACCGAATGGTTCGTGTGGCGTTTTTATCCAGCCCCCGCGTTGTTCCAGCGCCTCTCCTGCCCGACCCATTGTAGGAACACAGCTATATCTTCTGTCCAAAATATAGTAACAACCTCTAGCTAACAGTCAACACCAGTAAGTTGACTTAGAACCGCAAAAATAAGTGCTCCCCTAACAGACGTATATGCATCCTATAGCTCGAACTCTCAAACTCTTCCCACATCGCTCAAAGATCTAAAATGCTCAGTTAACAATTCACTTGACTTGAATATAAATTGTGGATGGAGAGAAAACAAACAGATGGAGGGACTCATGAACTGTTGAATGATTAGCAGGGAGTAAGTGAATTGTTATTGTTTTCTATTTATAAGGCCCATGCAAGTCATAAAATACTTTTCTTCGAAAAAAAATAGATCATGCATTTATATTTTCCAACCGGCAACCCGATAACGAAACAGTCAGCAAACTCGGCCGGATTCGAACCAGCGGACGAAGAGGCAAGGCTTTAGCACAGCAAACGCGTCAACCCCTGAAGTGTGAGACTTTGGGTTTTTAACACTCGGACCGAGTTATGCGCTAACCTACTTTGCGCATCTAATCCATAGATTCAACTACATAAGAATTCGGTAGCTGTTTGAATTGCATAAATCTGTCAGTGTTTTATGAAAGATAATCAGGGTATTTGGGTCTAAAATAATCAGTTTTTTATAGCCAGGGTATGTTCTATGAGCATCCAAAGGCCGCGAATTTTCATGCATTATGCTGGGAAGTGCCGCTCTAGTTAAAAAAGCGAATTATCATCCGCGAAAATGGGATGCGGCTAGGTATGAAAAATGACATTTGTCAACAACCACAGTGTTTTTTTGAACATCCTCGATTTTCATGTCTACTGTAGAGAGCCTAATAAGGGTTGAAAAAGTAGTTGACTGGTAATAATTCAGAAAACCAGTTGGTGAATCTACGTCTGCTTCCGATAAAAATTCATCAAACCGGTTTATGATGGAATCGATTAGAACATTTTGGTAATTAAAAAAAATAATTGTGTTCGTCGTTTTATGCAAATGGGGTTGAAGGGTATGGAATAAAAATTAGAGGTAGTAGGTATCATATAGCCAGGTAAGTATGTGCAGTGAGCGGAGGGAAGGTAAAAAGACGCAAAATGCTGCATGCAGGTGTCAGGTTAACTCACTTTAACGCATGATACATGCGGAGGGCTCTGCACGAATTACTTCCTTGCATTGCAGACCGGCTTGCATAACCTGATTGTGGTCGCATCTGCTATTGGTAGTAGAGGCTGTAGCAGTGGCTTTGCATGGGTCGATGGAAGCTTGTAAATCACTAAAAAGGAATCGTTGGGATCTGCACAATATCCGGAATGAGCCATCTTTGCGAGGATGACGTAGCTTACAGTCTGTCAATGCCGCCCGCTGTTCGCGTACGCACTTGGATGGCGCAGACCCCGGAGGGCAGTGTAGTTGGTTCTACAGGACCACTGGAAGGCGCAACTGTCCATACAGTTGGTTGGAGCTGGCAACATTTCCTCGAATTCTTCCTGTGTAATAGCTTGCTTAAGAATAATATTAATGCTTTAGCTGCTGGCAAGGTCCACGAGGTCCCTTCCCAGGAGCTCACCCGGCAGTCTGCCTGGCAATGGTTTGCTTTACAAATGAAAATTACAAGATGTGACCACATATATAAGAAGATGCCGCAAAATACTGCCATTTTTCTTTTTTACATACGATGAATTTTGGAAGGCAATTTTTTTGTCCTCCAGTCTGAGCGAACACAAAAAAGGCAGTAAAATAAATGCCACCTGAGACGGTAGCAAGTATTTTAAATATCAGTAAGCTCGTTCTGTGGCGAAATATTCATTGCAGACGCATACCGGAAGATAAGCATGACGAACCAAAATAATATACACAAAAAATGATTTAATTAACTGGAAACCAGATCGTTACATACCTTTTAGGAGCGTTTAATGAAAGGACTTTATATAACTATTAAAAGTCGATGCATTTCATCTCTGTTGATGAAGGTCAGGACGAGCCCTTTTTATGTACTAGACTTGTTAAATATATTTTATTTGCCAGAAGTAAGCTGGTTAGCCAGATTCATTATAGAAAAGCATTTACTGACGTGATGATGTCCTATTTTTAGAAAAGCCTACGAATGTGACCTAGATGGTCGCATGTCAAAAGAACTTCCCACGATAACACGCTGAACAAATTACAACTGTAGAGCACCATCAAAGCCTGAAGGTTTAGATGGCTGCTGGCTCGATGGGTGGTCATTCCCGCTGTCAGTAACGGATGCCATCAACACGAGGAAGTTTGTCAACATCTTGATCAATTTTAACAACAAGTATACAGTCGCAACTTTCACGATACCCAGTCGACTGCAACCCGTACAGCAATTTAAATTTGTGCAGAAAACCCAATGCAAAAGAGCGAAGTTCACATTCTAGTGCGTACAAAAAATTTACTGAAAAGGTTTTATGCTGCGACGAATTGCAGTTGATAAGCTGTCGCGAAGTTTGTTGATACCAGTAGACCTTTCCGTGCATGCCTGTTTCAAATTTATATAGCTGAGAAAGTGCCTAAATAGTCTTGGTCGGCGAATTTGGTTTCAATGAATTCCAATGGTGCCGGATTGAAGTCATAATTTTTCAGGTTCACTCTTCTGATCACCGCTCAAAAGAGGTGTGCTTCTAAAAGCAGTTACGAGAGAACCTAATTGGTTTAAACAATAGCTAAGGGCTCAACCAGAGGCTTGTTTTTGTGCTTAGCACCTATGAAAATGAAAGCCTCCTAAAAACATGGGTCGGTTCCGCGCCTATCGGTCGAATAATTTACTAAATATAAACGGACAGCAGAGCAAGTACTGACATTTGTTTTTTATTTTAATTTGTCCCTTCCACTGATTATCTCATTTCTTTATATACGGTTTCATTTAGTCCTAAATGAGGGACATGTAGTATACCCGTTTGTTAGAGTCATGATTTTTGGCACTACCGTTTTATTTATCAGTTTAGCTTTTCCTTCATTAGAATAACGGGAGTTTTTCCAATAACGGAGTTTTGCGGTCCGGGTTGGACGGTTTTTACGTCGTAGGGACTTTCTTGTATATTTCATACCGTCTTGCAAAATAGGTAGTATAGCGAAATATGTACATGAGATCGGTGATTTCTTTAATACTAAAAGGGCCTGTTCTAGGAGAAAAATGATCCGGTCGTTTGTGTTGACGCGCTAAATCATCGAATGATTATGGGGGCTCATTTTAGTCCAGACATTTAAGTGTGCTTGGGGGTATCTAGGCTTGTGAACAAGTTCAGGAGTAAATATACTGTGGGTACGCTCGCATAGCCTGCTGAGGGCGAGGCTTACATATTAAGTAGTCGACAAGTTTGCAGGCCACTGTGGCTTCTGTCCGTTTATGGTCTGAGTGAAACGGATTTGACGAAAGCCAGCATGGAAGAAAAATAGTTGGCGTGGTTTGATTCTGCAGTCCCACTTGATTGATACCATATGGTTAGCTTACTAAGACAATTTTACTTAACATCCCAAGCTTAGCCTCTCGCTTCACTAGGAAAGGAAAGAGAGCGCAAGCAGATCTCGAAGCACGCGTGAGGAAGTGAGTGGAGGTTGCGTGTAAACACTCCCTCCCCGACAAAGCCATGCACTGGATTAAGATGATATGGGTACTGCTTGGTAATTCGCAGTGCGTGGCCACTGTGGTAAGACCGATGGAATTCCACACCGTCTTAACAATTCCATTATCAAGTCTACTTGGCCACTCGCAAGATCAGGATTATAAAGTGAGCGCAGGCAGGACTCGAAGCATGCAGGGGGGAGCGCGTTAAAAGAGATATCTGAAGTAACGGCGGTTGGCGTATAAGCACTCCTCCCCCTCTGTGACACAGTCACTCGATGGATTAAATTGATAAGCAAGATGCAAATACGTGATATCTGTGGAGCCAGCATATTCATATCTACCAAGATGTTTTTGAAAGTTAACCGTATGATATCACTCAAGTGGGACTGCGGGACCAGAGCTCGCCAAATATTTGTACTTCATAATGCATAAAAGGCTGTACATTAGCCAAGGTTAGGTCGCAGTGCAGACGTTTGTAATCAAGCGCTTTAAAACACATTACTGTTAGCTAGCCAAAACATTAACTTATTGTTCGATTTGCAATTAGGAAAAGTCGTCTCACTCTTTTCCCTTCCTTTCAACAACAATATTTCCAACTTTCGTACCTAGTTACGTAGCTTTCACGTAATCGAATTCTTAGGTAAGGCTCAGTACAAGCATTTACATATCTAAAAAATTTGGTCCGTAGTTTGAATCCTACCTAGCATATAAATTCCTGTTTGCAAGGTTAGAAAGGGAGGAAGATTTCAATAGATATGCTTAACTTCGTATCTACAATGGTTGCTTGACGTGAGCTGCCGCGGATTAGAATTCCAAGTAATATCAACGTTTCGCTGCCCAAACCTTTTGTTTGAAGGTGGAACATTGATCAAATGTTAGTACTGATGCGTCGACAAAACTTACTGAAATAAGGGATAATTCAATGAGTTTGGACAATACAGTTAGCGGATGGATGCGAATATGTGAATCCCAGGTTCTTGTTGTAAAGAAGATGAAGACCCGATCTCTGTCCCAGAGAACGGGTCTTCATCTTCTTTACAATACAGTTAGCTGCCTGGTTCCAGTTTCCTTAATGTCTGTATGTCTAAGATTATTTCAAGAAACGACTTTCCGATCATGGGGTTTTGCGTTTAGCTGAACGAACGCATGTCATCAGCAGAAGGTCGAGATATGCACCTTGAACAGAGCAGTCGAAAAAAGCAATGTGACCTCAGAAGTTTGAAACCCTATCATTTCGAAGTCAAGACATTTGAATGCCTCCACAGTTCTCCAAAAAAGAATTCCTTCACCCAAACTGTTTTAACATCGTCCTCCCGACACTGCGTAGAACGCCCAAGTGATGACACCCTGAATAGTATGTAATTTCGAATAAACAGACATTTATCTTTATCCGGGACGAAGGATTCTTACATGTAATTAAGCAACGTATCTTGTTAGTTTGACTACCCCTCGTGATCTAGGACAGTATTTTTTGCGAACTAACCTGATTTCAAAAGCCTTCTTTACTCCTCCAGCCCTTCGTGTAAAGCGAACAGATGTGGGTTTATTTTAACGATGGCAGGTCCAGCTGCCTTGTGGAAGTTTGCATCACAGCGTGCACTGCCATACACAGGTGTCTGATTTCCTTTAATAAAAATGACCAGACTGCTTGGGGGACTTATGTCAGTTGCAGCGGTTTTTAGTATTATGCCGTTTAAATAAATTCCTGTTATATTTTCTAGTTTGCCGAATGCGACTGTGTACTTTAAATATCGTCCGAAAAAGAGCCTTTTGAAGAACTGAACCCAGTTTGAATCAGGTTTGGTGCCAACATTTATTCTTCAAACAGTATTATGCTTTAAAAATGCGTTTGCAAAAAATCGTTTTTTAATAAATCGCTCCTGATAGGACGTTCTACCCTTAGTGTTAGGATCCTGGACCGCGGTAATTTTTTTGCTATGCGCATGTTAATAATGATCTAAAAAACTCCAGACCAGAGCGTGTACGTTCATTTTCAGGATGATACTTGTTCTTATTATCGAATATTGCGCCATGAAATTTCCCCCGTATAATCATAAACAGGCAGACTGGACATATGACTATTTGCCTTTCTCTCTAGTTTACTTCCAAACACAGAATCAGGCCTCCAAATCCAGAAAAACGGTTTTCCAAAGCCCTCCAGTTTTTCTAGATTTCAGCGGAAATAAATTCACCAATAAGAACTGCATAATATTAAATGGAGCAAAACGATTACTTCCCGAGCATTTAAATTTGGTGTTTCATCTCGTTTTTCTCGGTAGAAATAGAAAATTCAAGTATACACTCTTTCAATTTATGTAGAAATATATGCCGATGAGGCTGAAAGTTATGAAGCAGTGTTTTTACAACTATAGAAATTTTGAAAAAAATCGGATATCCAGATAGTACGACGTCCAAGTATACGTATCCATGAACTGAGCCCAAACCAGTTGACAGTAAATTAATACTCCCACGGTTATCGTAACAGTTAACAAGGATTCAGTCTAAAAGATTGATGAAACTCGCACATTTATAAAAATATTAGCTGATTGTCTAGGCAAAACGACCTTTCGTCAAACGCTCAACCTTTCTCTTGCAAAAAACGTGTTCATATTGTTGTGCCTGCCTCACCTTCTTCCTCCACCTGGCATATACAGTAAAATATAATGCAGAAATACTAAGGTGTTCAGAAAGAGTTCCCTCCAAGCAGAAGCCGCCACCCCCTAGGTTACCCACTGCGCAGAGCTAATCCTACAGACGTGTTACTAGTGTGCTGCCGGTCAGCGCAACCGGAGATGATGATGGTATCCCAACGAACTGACAGGCGAGTGGCCGTTACGCCGCCCAGTCTCGTAGAAACTGTGTTAGGTGCGCAGATGCATAGGATGAGGGGCACCGTCATCATAGGTAAACCGACGCCTTTTCCAGCCGTCTGTCCAAACAAGCGGTGCTGTCATTTTTGTCCAAGCGCCTGTACGTGTACCTTGACAGGCGTGTCCGAATTCGCATCTGCCACCCCCACTCACGCTTACCCCTCATCAGCACCATAGACTTTTTCTTCTACCTCTTCGTCGGACACCCATCACTCCGTAATAGCCGGCAGGTCTGTTATTTTCCCTTCCTTTTCCAAAGTTCAAGGATTATGCTGCCCCCTTCAGACAACTCCGCTGCTGCCCGTTGCGAATGGGAGATTAGGCAGCCCGTATTTTTGTCGAAAGTAATGACGGAAAGGAAGACGTGTGGAAGATTGTAAATCCCGAGGAGGCCATTTGACATCACGTTCGATAGTAAAAGAGATTGTTGCTGAGGCAGGACAGAGAGCCAAGCAACAATGATGGCCCTTCCGCTTAACCATTAATCACGTGGTAAAGAGAACCTTAGCACTGCGACCACCACTAAAACATCTCCAGTGTCTATTTTCACTTATATCAGGGCCTAATTATGCTAGTGCCATGGTAAGATAAAACGGACCAGGGCGCATTATTGGTCGATTTTTGTTGACTATATCTTATATAGCTCCTCCAGCAGGACAAGGGAATAGGAAAACTCCCCCCCCCTACTGTATTATAGGTGGCCTCGCGTTAAATTCAAGGAAGGACATCTAGTGCCGGTGTGCTAACCCTAGCGTTAACCACAGTTTTATTCCTAACCCTGCTTTTACACTAAACACAATTCTAACTTTAAACATAACGTCAGACCAAACCCTAAATTTGGCAATAATTTCGCTGGAATTTAGTACGAGGCCACTTGTATTACGGGACGTTTCTACTCCCGTGCCTTGCCGGGTGGGTGATCAAATAAGAAACCTTTGCCGATTCTTTATTGATGATTCTGCCGAAAGACGAGTCATTTAGTAAGAAATAATTAAAAGTGAGTTAGGGCAAGGGGACACGGGAGGCCTTGGCAACCCACCGAGTAAGTAGGGGACAAACCTCAGCAGCTAAGTGACTTACTTTCAGCAGACTGCAACCAAATAAGGCATCCACACAACTGCTTCATTCTAGCAGAGGCAAAACAGTACATTTGTTTCAAACGTGAATTTCGGACAAAATTTACAATCACGAGAGCCCAGGAATCCTGCGACCTTGAAGTAGAATTGCACTCAACTACCAATGACTGTGTTTCAGAAGGACGTCAAAGACCAATTTAACTGACTGATGTCTTCTGGTGGGCTTCCAACGACAGCAAACCCGCTACTGATTTTCAAATGCCCAATTTGATTGGTTTTAGGAGGCAAAGCCGAGGCCCTACATGATTCCGGTGACCCAGCTTGCGGACATACGAAAGACAAACCAAAGCGGCGCACAGACGAGGGGAAAAGGGACTACATAAACCATTTCGTGAATTAGATAATACAGAGTCCTTTAAATAATGATAAGCGTCCTTGAGAACCCGTTAACATTGCATTTTTCGTTTTTATTTTCCTCGTAAATGCAATTTGATCTTCCAGAACAATTGCCCCATAAGAAGTATTGACAATACTTTTGAGGTTGAAGGTTAGGGTAAAGTCGCACTAACAGCTTTTAAAACCCAAAAGAACAACAAAATATATTTAAACAAAAACAAATATGAACGGCATTTTTTGATCTACCATAATCTACAGCAAGAGATGTACTTAATATAGGAAAATTTAAAGTGAAAATCTAGAATGTAGAAAATGTCTATGAAAAGGTAGAAAATCCAAAACTAGAATTGGACATAATATATGAAAATGTGCTTAACGTTGACTGGTCTCTAAAAAGTTAAAATAAAAGGGACAGTCTATTCAAAAATAGTCAAACCAGGACCCTCCCAAGTTAGAAAAAGAGCAAACCACTTGTGTCCGCTGGAGCTTTAGGGAAGACTGAGTTTTTCATCACTCTCAATCACATGCGATATCTTCGGGGTATATCTACCATAGTTGTTAACAGTAACTGCATAAATACCGAGAAAATGTTATACAGTAGGTGGGCTAGCTCATGAAATTTCAAACGAAATTCTGCAATGCGGTTTCATTTTGAAAAGATTACTTAGGTAGGGTTTTGAAATTAATCATTTTGCAGCATAATTCTATAATCATTCAGTTACACCGGGAAGCTGGCTTTCGAGCGAACATCTTTCCAGTTGCATGCAAAAACCACGTTCTATAAAAAGGACTACTTGAATAGCATGAATTTTCTTTTTTGATTTTTGATGCCCTTAAAATGCAACGAAATTTCGAGGAAAACATGCATAAAATATAAATTTTTACTCATTTTGTAGAACATTACGTCTTTTTCCAATTTTATGCTGGAAGGAACGGTGCAATTCGGTTTTTAAAAAATGAGACCTTTAATACCGTGAAATGCCCCTTCATAGAATATTTTATCTCAGCACTCACTAATGTAGCTTGTATAATCCACAATATTGCTCTAATGCCCTCCTAGATTTTATAAACTCCATATGGTCTCTTCTTGATTCAGCGTCGAGAGGCATGGTTTTCAGCATGCGGGAAATATACGATTTGTAGATTATAAACCCTGAGTTCAAGTGTAACGGCAAGTCGTATTTAAAATTATTCGGGAAATATAAAGTTTTTGAAACCGAATCAACCCTTTCTTCGAGTACAGAATTGGAAGAGGACGTAATGTTTTACCTAATGAGTGAAAGAATAAATATTTTATGTTTTTTACGAAATATAGTTGAATTTCTAAGGACATCGAGGATAAAATTAGAAAATTCATGCTACTTAAATAGTCATTTTTGTAGAACGTGGATTTTGCATGCAGCCGGAAAATGGTCATTCGAAGATTTTGGCAAATGTGCAGATTGGAATCGCTTAAAAGTGCTACTTAAAATGTGCAAGTAGCAAAACTAAGGAAATAATTAGTCGTTGGCGGAGCCTGTGAAGTCGGGTGTTTTAGACGCTGGGTCTGGTAGAAAATAGTTTGCGCTTCAACAGTGATGCAGATAAATTAAAAGAACAGAAAGATGGAAACTGAGGTGGACGTCCACAATCTTGCTCATTTATTACTCGGTTGAGAAGCACGGATCCAAAAACTTTGGACCGGTCACAAGAAGAACGGATGACATAAACAGACAAGCAACTTAACTAAACGCTACCTTGCAGAATGGGGAATTTTATTGTATCATGTGTCCACGCCTCATCCATACACCAGTCATTCCGTGAATGGTATACCGCTGGGTATTCTTCCGAGGTAAAATGCGTAACACATAAAGGCTTCACCGAAAAGACGTGGATAAGTAGAACAGCACTTTCCGGCTTGGCAAACATCGTCATAAAGTAATAAGCTAACCACATGTCAGGACAAACAAAGCTTAAAGTAGAATCTTGTTGACAGACCGGTTGAATGTCTTTTCGGTAAAAACACTCAGAACTTTCCCTGGGCTGCTATCAGGTTCGTTCAAAGTTATGCAAGATTGGTGTGAAGTGCTGTGACCAGCCTGATGACAAAGTAACGCGTTGGATAAGTCAGAATGCATTGGGTAAAATCGTATAACAGGCAGATTTGACTGTCGTTTGAAGCAGGTATTTGTACGGAAGATGTGCCATGGAGTTTAGCAACCCATATTCATCTGGCTTTGGTAACCTGTTCACTGGGAACTACCCACGAACCATTGTCGGCAGATTAGACGGAAAAACCCGGCTTATAAAGGGCTTCTTCGCATTTTGTAATTCGGAATTCGAACAAGAGTCTCGAACCATTCTGTGTTAATTTTCGAAGCGAAATGAGTAACTGATTTTACTGCACCTTACTTGACTCTGCGAATTCCAGCTAAAGGTTATTGGGGACGTAAAGAATACACTTTGAAAGACCGATATTTTAAAGCACCTCATATCAGATACTTCGTCTACGTGAGGTTAAGGTATTCGCATGCATGGTTTTCGCACGCTAAACTAGATTTTTCGGCCTCACTGCTGTTGCAGCACTTAATGCAAAATGATGCTACTGAAGCCATTCAGGACGAGTTCATAATCTTATCGGATAACGTCAACAAACGATGTTTTCGTCCCTCAAAAGCTAAAATGTCACCACTGAAAACGTCGCAGTGTTTTTGGGTTTACGAAGGTATTTCAGTCCCCAGAGCTTTCCGGACTAAAAGGTTCAGAGGAATCGTTTAATCTGCTGAAGTATTAAACTATTAATTAAAAGTAGACTCTTTTAACTGCTCTGCTACGGAGTTCGTGATCGTCATATTATTACGCGTTGTCTGTACCACAGACGCGATTTACCCTCCTACAAATATTTAAATCGTCCGAGACTGCAAGCAGGTGGTACACGAATCAGAAAGCTATAGCAATAACGACAGTTTGCTTTGAGCACTGCTGGTTTGGACTTGTGGCAAAAACCGTAAACAACCAATCACCTGAAAATTTTCTTTTAGGCAATCCTTCCATGCTATGTAGGAAATCGTAGCATCAACGCTGTTTCAAAGGTTTTGGTTTTGCGTCGCGTTCAGTTAGTAGATATCTGGATTCGCTTAAAAGCAAATAAGGCAGCTAGAGGAACTTTTTCGTTTACCTTTTCAAAAATATGCAGATATCACGATACAGGAGACCTTTATTTGCGACTGCCTCTGATGATGGTGTCAAGTGGGAATTTGAAAACTCAGGCCAATAAATTTCTTGGTTCAGTGATTGCATCTTCGTATTCTATACAGGAGACTGTTTTATCTTGAACAACCCAGCGTCATTTATGGACTGCTTTCCTAGTATCGCTTTGCACTCAGCCTGTTGTCTAGCACAAAATTGCCTTTCCAGTTCACTCCGCCAAAAAATTACTAGGCGTATATTTAAATTAGTTTTTGGACGATAGAACAAAAGAGTAACAGCTTTTCTCCAGTCTCCTTCTCGTAAGCTGTAAGTAGATTCTAACATACGCCGAACATCTGAATAAATTTGCTGCCCTTTCGCTTCTTATGCAAACTGAGACAGAAGGCGGCTGCAAATTTTATGGCACATTTTTATCGGATAGTCAAATCTTCAGTGTCAGATGACCTGTCCCATTGGTGTGCGACACCACAATATCTGCTGCTGTCTCTTATTACGAGAAGTCTAGTGAATAAAACTGCGACAGAAATGCTGTGTTCAATTTTCTTCACTTCCTATTTTACAATAGCTTTCGGCACGAAAAAAGATTATGCTGCATGGCATACGTTTTGTGGCAAACAATAACTTTTATTTTGCACAGAAGTAAAAATAAAATTTATCTTTCAAATCCACCTGAGAGTTCAGATCCCGGCTAAATCCAGACATTAGTCATAAACCTTTGTTAAGGAGCGAGTCTCAACCTCAATCTCTATTTTTTCTCTCAGCAGCTATTTGACCCTAATCCTCATTGTAAAATCAACTAAAAATTTACTTTACATACTTGTGAAAAAACTTATTCCATTGGATTTAAAAGGCCCAGGTGAAAAATACACTAGTGACTAAAGCTAAAATTAATTCAAAACAAGGTATAGTCTTAATTTTAATCTCATGTTTCGGTTTCGAGAGCGAGTGGATTTAAAAATTCTGAATCGTATTTTGTCCCATTTTACAAAGAGAACCTAACTGAACTTCTTAATTTATATCATCCAGCATGAAAACGTAGGCTGTGTATGTGCATACAGAAATACGAGTTCTCTAAAATAAGAGATCCTGCGAACCAATTCCTCCCCGAAAATGAGGCATGGGAAATCGTACAGAAGGCAACGTTGCGAAATAGTAGATTTATGCAGTAGAGCATATCACTCGCCGTCGGTCTCTCTAGCTCAAATGTTTGTCCTTTTAATGCATAAAGCAAGCAGTGACATTAGGCACAATGATCTTCCCGGCTTTTATCTTATTTCTACTGAGAACTATGGAATAATCGTTATAGGTCATTGTGCAGGCGAAAGATAGGTGAACATTAGTAATTCACAAATGTTCTCTATGCGCTCTGCATGATGTACAACCACAGTGACAGTCCAGGTTTAGGCAAGATACGCACAAGCTGTGAAAGGAAAACGATGAAATGCATATTTATTGAGCGATTATGCATACTTTTGATTAGTTATTAACGGTGGCCGCTGTACTTACTACGCAGATACAGTGTATCCATTTAAATTCCCCTCTCACTCGAAGGCCCCTCTGTGTGCCTCTGGACCACTACCTGTTTGCCGTACCCATATTTAAGCAGGACCCATGTGTGCGGACTGTATTCTAAGCATTCAGACTAATGAACACAGCTACACGTGATGTTCAGTGAGTTAGGTCAGTGATTGCTTTAATAAAACAAGTAGGCAGTCATCTAACCCTAGTTTGTTGTGTGCATAGGATGCAACAGGACTCAAAAGTACACTTCCGGCGATCAAAGTTTACTTTTAAATTTTTAATAAGAGAGTGATGAACACTACCCTATTGAAGAAGCTTCGTCTTGTGTTTTTAAATCCAAGTGAGTGCGTATACTTCTATATCCGGCGCTAATAATCTTTCCTCCCTAAGATGAAATCCGAAGATTATTTTTTGCAGATCCACTGCAAGGAACACGATTTCAGTCCTAGAATGACGAAAGAAGACTTAAAACATGGTGTACGGCTACCACGGCAATATTAATTTGCATAAGATTATCAAAGTGACGTGAGGAATCAAAATAGGAGGGTAAAATCCCGACTCCAACATTAACGTCCCACGTAATGACGCTTAATTTGGACTAATATGCGGGTAATTCGACCAAAGCTTCGTGCTTTTTATACATGCTACAAATGCACACTGGCATAGCCAAGCATCTAGATGTCATAAATTCCTGATGGAATGCTTGCTTCACTAGGCTGAGTTACTTGAACCTGCTGAATCCGATATATTTCCAAAAGTGCATTATCCAGTAACCGGAAGAAAGTAGCACCAGCAAAGACAAGAAAGATTAAGGTGGCAATTTCTGGCTTGCTGGCCGTCGTTTGCTAGTCATACCCAAAGTCAGGCTTTAATGGACTGGGACTTGAACATGGATGCGTTAGGCAGTGGGGACGTATAAGTCCAACGCTATAACACTAAGCTACATGTGGGTCGGTATGACTGACCGATGACAGCTGATAGACCCGAAATGACCATCCCAGTCTCCTTTGCCTTTAGTAATACTCCTTCTGCGTACTTACTAGTCACTACGCAAATACTTGGGAGTAATCTATAGTGGGTCTCAAGGCTCAAAAGTAAAAACATACCCTGTATCATGATCGATGAAATTCCTGCTCAAGAGGGTTATTTCCGAGTCAGCATATCTAACATGCAGGTGTATACTAAAGGGAGAATAAGTTTTGGAGACAGAGACTTAATCCTCCAGAACACTGCCCAAATCCCAAGCAAAACCACGAAAACCTCAGAGTTACCATTGACTGCCTTAAAATCGATGTGAAAAGTAGAACGAGGTTTGGTTCTACAGCCCCACTTGTGTGATATCATGCGGTTAGCTTTCCAAAATGATTTCGATATATGCGAATACGCTGACTTTACAAATATCACGTATTTGCATCTTACTTATCATTTTAATTCAGCAAGTGACTGTGCCACGGGGGAAGAGTGCTCACACGCCAGCTTCGGTTACTTCACATATCACTTTACACACTTCGAGTCCTGTTTGCACTCTCTTTATAATCCTCATCCAGCGAGTGGCCAAGTAAACTTGCTAATGGAATTGTCTAGACGGTATGCAATTCCATCGGTTCCATCACAATGGCCATGCATTGCGAATTACTACACGGTACCCTCAGGGACCTTCCAGTTGTGATTGCAATTTTCGGCCAATATGTTGTATTTGTGACCGCTCTGCGATAAATTTATTAAATTTGCGTCAACAAAAGCCTATGAATCGCAAAAAACACCGGTGCGTTTGACAGCTCGCATTTAAGCGTCAGCCAAAGAACAAATTGACAATTCTAGGCTTCTTGTCGACAAACTGTCGGTCGGTCTTCAAATAGAGCTCACGATTTGGTGCTACTTTGGTCGAAATAAGAAGACGATAGAACTAAAGTGATTTGTCTTCAAGAGACGTGGTTAAATAATGACACTGATAAGCAACTATTTACTCCTCCGTCTTTCTGATGCTTTCGAACGGATAGAAAATCTCTATCATTTGGCAGAGGTGGAGGCATTACTGTTTTTGTTAATAAAATTGGTGTAGAGCATGCAAGTCCGTATTTTCTTTCTCTGCTGGTTTGATAGACGTCATCGTTGTTCTATACAGTCCACGTTTGTTGAGTACTATTAAAGACATTATATTTGTTAGTATTTACATTCTCCCTCTCAATGTGAAGGTGCTCTAGCCCATTTTGTCGACATTATTTCACAAAACCCTGCTTTATTGTGCCGCGAATACCTTATTCCCTTATGCGGTGACTTTACTCGCATGAATTCACGTTGCGTCATACTTTTAGTTTTTGATGGTCTTGTCTCCTTCCATACTCGCGCGGATGCCCTTCTTGATCACATTGTGACCAACCACATCAAGCTTTTTGTATTAAACATAGGGCTCCGTTGCCGAGTTCTGATCATTTGCACTTTGTTGGATCTTCCAAAAATCTATTCCATCTCTTACCATGCACTGTTGGCCAAGCCCGAGAGAAAGTTGGAGGTTCGCAACACGTCCGCACAAAAAACTTTGCCTGCTTTAGACTTGCATATCTTATAATATTCCTGATTTCCTTAAATAATTGAATGCTAAAACATGTTCTTCCAACAAAACAGCGGTTTTAAATGAAATTTTTGATATTTGCTGTCCTGTTGATACCGTTATGGTACGACCGGACAGAATTCCTTCTCCCTATGTCAATTTTTAAGGCGAAAAAGAAATCCTTCACAAGCTAGGCTTACGTGACAGGCTTAAGTACGTTACCATCTTTACAAAAGCAGAGATTGCCAGGCTAAATGACCTGTTTGTTAATCAGCTTTAACATCTTCTTCATCCCCTTTTTCTCCCTTTCTCAACTGGAATTTGAAAGAATCCTAAGCGTCTTACTGGCCATCGTAGCACACTTGTACATGTGGATCCTGATTTAGACTCCTTAAACAAAAATTTCATCTTTAGTCACAATGACTCCCATCTTCCATCAGATAGCATTCCCCTATCACCATGTGACTTTCAACCCGTGTCTGTGGAAACAGTAGAGAAACACTTTGAAATGGTCCGTGGATCAGCAGCTGTCGGACCGGATGGTACCTCACCTTTTCTCCTTAAATCTTGTTGATCTCAGATAGCTCCCATTTTAACGCATGCTGTCCACATGTCTTTCATGGAGCCCAAGATTTTTGACGCCTGATGTACAATGAGAATCACTCCCATCCATGAAAATCCGCCAATTTTGGCCCTCAATATTTTCGTCCAATTACCTGCTCTTCCACACTTCTAAAGCTTGCTTAAACAGTTGCCCTAGATATTATAAAGCCATGCTATTCCAGTTTTCATATCCTCTACAATTTGCATATAAAGCCAGGCGTAATACTTCGGATTCTGTTGCTCTTGTGGTCCACACTGCCCTAAAAGAATTAGATAAGGGTTACCGCGAGTGCGCATGTACTTCGCTTGACTAATCTCTGCGCCCTCTTTTCCCGACCAAAACACTCGCGTGCGGCTCTCCAGGCTGGGTCATCTCTTGGCTTAGCGATTATTTACTTCCCGCACTCAATGTGTCCAATCTGGCAAGCGGAAATCTACGGTCCTTCCCGATGACTGCGGAGGTCTTCAAGATTCCGTTCTATACCCTCACCTTTTCCCCCTCCACACTGACAATCTAAGATCCCATATCGACTGCCTTTTGGTTAAGTACGATAATGATGTGGTTTTTGGACACCCTCTCAAGAGTCAGACACACCTCCAGTCTCGAAGGGATGGTCTTAACCATGTCCTAGTTTGGTCGGAGGAAAATGGTCTCCTAATAAACAATCAAAAAATCATTTCAGTATATTTTCCGACTGCGATCCTTTCCTATTCCGGAATATTTTTACGTCCTTCCCAACGCGGCATCCTCTTTCAGGTGCATTGGTGCAACTTTGTCATCAAACCTTTCTTTTTCCCTCCATATTGAGCCCCTACTTACTAAAGTTCGCAAACGTCTTTATTTCACTCGCGGTCTACGTTCCTACCACATACCCCAGCCCTTATTTTGACGATTCATATACGCCTGCATTCTTCCTCTTATCCTCTATTTTCCTCTTGACATTTTTTCCTGCTTTACTCAAAAAGATCTCTTAATTTTAAAACGAGTCCTCCGAATGCTCTCTTCTGCCGTTGGTGTTCCTTATCTCCTTTTAGTCAATATTATTCTACAACGACATTTCACTGCTGTCAAGCAATTTGCTGGTCGATTTCTAGAGGAAGTTGCCCATCCTTTGCATTCTCATCTTATTTCTGCAAGGTCTTCCCACCCGCTACTTCGCGGCTTCCGACTTATCTCTTGTCGCACATCGGCATTTTGAGATTCTGTATTGCCATTCCTGGCACGCTGTCCAAGAAATGGAATTACGGAAGTTAAGACTTAAACTGCCCCCATAATAATCGTTCCTTTTCTGTTAAAGTCTGACTCTGTAGTAATCCATTAACCTATTTGCTGTTCATAGTGAATGGAGCCCATTTTTGCTGAAATTGTGAATTTATGATTGCAATATAAAGTGAATTCCTTTCTGTCTCTCTCTTTCTAACTCTCTCCCATATCCTCTTAATCCAGTGAGTGACTGTGTCAGGGGAGAGTGTTCACACGCCACCTCCATTCGCTTCCCTGCGCGTGCTTCAAGCTCTGCCTGCGCTCTCTTTCCCTTCCTAATCTAGCGCGTGGCTAAGTTGGGTAAGATGAGTAATATTGTTTGAGTAAGCTGACCAATTGGTATCAATCATGTTGGGCTGCAGAACCCAACCTCGCCAAACACAGGTTGAAAGGGCAATTTTCTGAAAAAAGCAAAGGCATTAATTTTTCTGTTCGTTTCTCGCCGATCAGAGACTTAATTCCTAAAAACGCAAAGTATCGCTCAAAACGTACTGGGTAAATAAAGACTGAATTGCTTCATTCAAAACGTAATACCCCGAAATATTCGAATACATATTTAACGGGTATTTCTCAAATATATTTTTAAACAGCATCGAAGCAAAATATTCGGAAAAAAGTACATAGGAACACATGGGAGACTAGGACGGCTGGTCTCTTCTCATTAACTGGCTGGCGTTGGCTATTTGCATAAAAATCCCAGGATAAGATGTCACTGAACTCCCATCAAGATAGCAAAGACACTGACCACCTGACCTTTTGGCTTTATTCCTTGTCACTTTGTGTGCGGTGGCTTATCATATATAACAGTAACTTTCCCTAGGCTTATCTGAAGCCCCAACTGGCAGTTGTGTTCTCGAGCCATGTTTCAGGTCGGCAGCGTCGAGGTGGATCCAATTTTTAAAATTCAACCAATCCGATGACTAAAATATATATATATATAGACTTCGGTAATGACTGAATGATCTTTAGTGTACTTTGCTCGGACCTTGACTACGTGTATTCTGTTAAAAATGGCAACCTGATTGATCAGTATTAAGAATTAGTTTTGGCATATATTAAGTAATCCGAGTTAAAACTAAGGTTAAAACATCAGGCGGACGGCAATTCATATTGCATTCCGAATACATTTATGGATATAGACTGTCTACTTATGTTGGATGGTGAAAACGTTTAGTTGCTCCCCCTAGCTAATAAGCCTTCTGTGTTTCATTGCAGAATTAAACAAGTAGTTTAGATCTTGATCCAATTTAATTTAATTCTATGTCTTTGTCTTATTCTGCTTTACACGCATTTTGTTACTTTGTCGATCTAATGCCCAGAGTACACTTATATTTATTGAGTATATATTTGGATAATACGACACTATTCAATAAAGTTTGTAGTTTGGTGAGATGTTCTGAATTGTTTGACAATCAGTCGCTTCTCTAAACAGATGGTATTAGAAAGTACAGATAGAACAGTTTCATTTGAAATCTAAACAATGAATAGGTTCGTTGGGGATCAATCTTATCTTCTTTTTTTCATTTTCAGGCTCTGAATAGACATTTGCACTCCTTACCACTTAGCAAGTCCTGTCTTTAAAAAACATATCTTGACAAGGGGGGAATCAAGGCGTTCTTACTTCGCGTATCTGCGTATAAAAAGATGGCAGATGTCCTAGGTGCTTCTGCTTGACCCGTAAAGCCCTCATCACTGTGAATTCACCCTGACGCGTATCTTTCTCTCCATGATGCCAGCGCATGGGAACTTCTCTAGCCTCGGCCTCTGTAAAAAGGTCCTGCACATACGGTGCGTGACCTATCTCATGAAATGTTGGCTGAAATTCTGAAATGCGTTTTCGATTAGGAAGGATTACTTGGTCGCGGTTGTGATACTGATTATCTTAAGGCATAACCTTATAACATTCTAGACTCGGCAGGATGTCGGCTTTTAAATGCACTTCTTTTAAATCTCCTGCAGAAAGCGTGCTCGGTAAAAAAAATGACTACTTAAGTAGCATGCATTTTCCCCATTGATTTTCGATGGTCTTGGAAATTTAAATATATTTTATAGAAACCATAAACAAAAATATGCTTTCTTTTAGTCAATCAATAGATAATCATGTCTCCTTTATATTTTATACTTAAGAAAGGAGTATAATTAGGTTTTTAAAAAGTTTCTAACTATCAGACTTTTTAAGACCGGGATATGTCCATTCACATAGCATCGTACCTGGCCGTTTACCATTGCTGCTCATGAAATGTACATGGTCCGCATCTATTGCAAAATTTTATGGACCCTGTATGATATCTCTTTAATGACAGAGAAAAATTATGGGATTTTTTTACGCGGAACGCATGCACCTTGTAGAGTGTAATCACTAAGCGCTAATGCAACGAATGATCAGGCTCCAAATTTTTCGGCAATTAGAAAACTTTTTTAAAACCTAATTATACTCCGTTCTTAAGTATAAAATATAAAGAAGACGTGATTCTCTATTGATTGATTAAAAGAAAGCATATTTTTTATGGTTTCTATAAAATATATTTGAATTTCAAAGACCATCGAAAATCAATGGGAAAAATGCATGCTACTTAAGTAGTCATTTTTTTTTACCGAGCACGCTTTCTGCAGGAGATTTAAAAGAAGTGCATTTAAAAGCCGACATCCTGCCGAGTCTAGAATGTTATAAGGTTATGCCTTAAGATAATCAGTATCACAACCGCGACCAAGTAATCCTTCCTAATCGAAAACGCATTTCAGAATTTCAGCCAACATTTCATGAGATAGGTCACGCACTGCATAGGATCTTTTCAATCTTAGAGTAGTGTAGTTACTCCTTTACCCAACGCAGTGCCCCTATTGTCAGTCAGCTTAAAAGTCCTCTCGTTGAACTAAATATTATATATATATCGAGAGGTGGAGGTCGGAATTATGGGGCGAAGCAGGCGTTTTCACAGGCGTTTTGTCGTAAAGCTCCAAAAACCCCTCCACATTTTAGAAAATTTCAAAGTGAAAGGTCTTCCTCTCGGTTTTTTGATATACTGAGGAGATCGCAAACCTGCTTGTGTTTCCGAGCATCACTTGCTCATGAATTGGTACCTTTTCACTGCGAATGCAACCGGAAGCTCTTCACGCGAATGATTTCCATTTTCTACGTTGAAAGCCTTTTCAAAAAGTTCCCAACTGAATTAAGCATGCTAATTTTATTGAACAATGAGCAAAGTGCTGAATGGGGAAAGAAATGAATAAATGTGCACAGTAAAGATAAATGAGCAAATCAGGAGAACATTCATACGAAGATCTTTCACTGTTTCAGTCAATTTTGCAACCTCCGGGAATATTTTTGCATCTACGTTTTTATAAGTGTCTTTAAACAGATTTAGAAATAGGAATTAGCGACAACGATAGTAAGGGGAAAAGAGGTATTAGAAAAACTGGACAATTGACGACTGCACTGATCTTCTGAGATGCGTTTCGAAAAATAATCTGGACAAGTCAAAATTTGTTTCTAAAATGAATTCTCATCGGGCGAGAAAAAGTCACTAAAGTCTTCGTTCCCAGCATCCCTGGTCTCGCACGTTTTGAGGTCATATACGCCTTATTAATGCCTGGGCGATCTTGTAAAGAGGTCTTCATTTGTAAAATAGGATCTCATGTTGAGGGAGAGAGTTTCCAACCTGGAAATTACACTCGCATGCGTGATATTTCGGGGTACGTTAGAGGTCAGGTACTTGCGTACTTTTGCCATCGTCTGGATCGGCCCAAGACTAGAGGAAGATAGGTCACTGTCCGTTTTTGGTTCTCCCCGGTCCGTGATAGGTACTGTAGATGTGCTTGGTTGAAGAAGACCACAGTTGTTAAGATGAGAATGTTGAGCACTTGAAAGGAAGAAGAAAGAGCTACAACGAGATGGTACACAAATAAAGTTCGGACACTAGATAGAAGATCCGACTAAATCAAAATTGGAATAGTTTTATATATAGAAAAAAGTGGAGTAAAAACAAACTCTGAATCAACTTAAAGTTGGCTGTCGATCCGGTGGACATCATGGCAAAACACAACTGAATCAGAGTCAGTTTGTTATGACCACTTGCTAACATGCATGAGGCTGAGCATTCAAAAAGCAAAATTCTGGTTACTGGAACATCTGTTGAGATGACTACGGAAAGGCAACCGGAGTACGAGGCCTGTTCGCATGCAGATGTCGACTTCAGACGCCACACCAACGGCTGAAACCCGGGTCCATCAGACACTGGACAAACCCTCAGCCCTAAACCGTGGACTCCTGCCATTTCGGCTGCGATGGGAAGTGGTTTTTATCGATCTCTATGAATGAGCGGTTCAGTTTTCTTTTTTTCGTTTCCAGTTAACTTACACTCCTGGCAGTCAATGTTTTTTGATTGCCTTCATTTCCCATATTCTGCAATAAGCAGTAGTTTTCGGAAATCGGAGAGACCAACGGAAGCTTCTCAACATGAATATAAGTGGGAAGACATTCAAGTGAATTTCCCGCAGTTCCCAATCAACGAAAACAGAGTCTGTAAGAACCTTTGTCACGGGGAGGGCTGGCGGAGGCTATTTAGCGACAGAAATTGCAGTATCTGGCCTATTTCATAAAGTGGGTTTAAGATTAGAAAAGATTACGTATTATAAGAGTAATTACCATTCAGGTATCTCCCAAAATAAACGAGTCCCGCCTGTATGTGGGCTCTTGAATAAGCCTATTTCCGGCCGTTCGCATAAATTACACCCGGCAACAAATGGCTACAGAGATAGTACGTTTTTTCAATTGACTTTTCGATGCTCGTACATATGCAGATACAAACAGGGTTTGTATATAAGTAATTCCGAGAACTCCGTAAAGAATAAAGAAGAATACATACCTATTATTTATTTGTAGTTCTGACATACGGATTCTGGATGACCAATTTAGTGGTTGGCATCACGTTCGATGAAAAACTTATATTCATTGTGATTTTATTTTTACAACGAAGACCCTATAAAATAAGTCATTTTCATACCTCACACCCAGACGCTTTAGAGTACCATGCACGGGGTAAATGACAGGATTCACATGCGAAATGCACGACGTCTCACTTTGGACGTTTTCTCAGACTACTGAAAGAATTCAGCCGCATTATGATATATCTGATACATAGTATGATATAAGTAAAAATGCTATAATTGACTGATTTTCCCCTACATTGTAGGTATAGCATAAGCACCAAGATGACGGGAAAACAGTGACGAATATTCCGTCACGAAAAGAGAGGACAACGCATACCTAACCGTAGGATCCGCTGCTAAAGAAAATGTTTGTTGAAGATGTTTCATAAGGCCATTAAAATTCTCCAGAATGCTCGCTGTCTCCTGCGTGCTAGGAAGATCCGCTAACCTGTTCGAGCACTTGAGTAGCTTCGCATGAAGATACTGCACTTCTTCTTTTGTAAGACGTGAGCTGAGCAACAAGATTTAAGGTTTGAGCAACACAATGTTGTGGAAATTCATACCGCAAGGTAGAGGACTGCTTACAACAGCAAATTTATCCACTACCTCGTCTTTGTAAAAAAAAACAAAATAACGATTTGCGTGCCGCACAACTTTCAGAAAATGCTGAACAAAATATTCTTATCGAAAATTTTCTATTGTTTTTGAGGGATACCCGTGGAAACTTTATGAAAGAGCCATAGGATCGAACTCCTCGCAGCTGTGTCACAAGGCACCAGAAAAGCGGTGCGTTTAGTTAATGTCTGTCCTGTCAGTGCGGTGGATCATGCACCAACTATGTGACCCTTCACAGACAAGTAAAAGTGTAAAAGTAGAGCATAAAATGGTCTACAAAATGCTGAGTATGTTTTACCATACTGGGAATGTCTGACATCAACATTCAAATCAAGGATTTTATGTGCAAGCCAAGACTACAGACTGTTGAAAAATTTAAAGTCACACTGTGTAATTTCCTTTCAAATGGTACAAGTAAATTTGTTCCTGCAGGTCGCCCAAAACAAATGACTGTCATTTTGTAATGTTTGACCTTGATGTGTAACCGGGACGCATTCTTCTTCCATCGGCGTAGACAAATCTGCGTAAACATGTCGAAGCAAATAAGCGGCTAAGCGGACGACAACCCTACTGCTGGCATATAGTCTCAGAGGTCGAGAAATATTGCCGAAAATGACTGGCCACCACCACCACCACTATCCAGTGGTATCAACTTTCAGTGAATCAATGAACTGTTGCTTAGAACGCCGAGTGCTCCAGTGTCTGCGGTTTATTGTCACTGGCTAATGACAGCAGACAATTCAGAAACGGTCACTCAAATCCCCCGGCACTGTCGGAAGGTATTCTGATTAAGGACGGTTGGTCGTCGTACAACGTATGCTTGAGAGGCAATAAATCAGGACGGAAATGCACATTTTCGTCCTGCAGTCAAGGTAAGTCGGTGCATGTCACCCCCCTCTCCCCAAGTGACGAACCATACCGTTTCCCGACACAAGCGAAATGGCTAGTACCAAGAAGCAGCTGAGAAGGAGTAGACGCGATCGACGGAACAAGAACTGTATTCGCCTGGCGTTTCACATTCATGGTCCAACCCATTGTCAGAGGCAGAATTGGATACGGATGATTCAATCGCAGGGGGTTACCATATTTATAGGACGCACACGCTATGCAACTGCATACCGAACAAAACTACTAGCTCCTATTCAAAGCGGATTGTTGCCGTTTGTGCGACAGCAATCTGCGACAAAAATATCGATCGACAGAGCGTGAGTCACCTAGCTCAAACGGTACGAAGGTTCAACCTAAACTTCTCAAAGGCTCGCTGGGCCTGGTATCAACAAATTTTCGAAAATGACAATTTTCCTAGATCTCGTCTTTGTCAGCCACATTTCTCGACCATTAATTCCTGATCGCTATACGACCACTGAGAGCTTCAGACCTAAGGTTCCAAAGCAAAGAAGAAAGTCTTTTTCTAATCCCACAATCAGAAGTAGTCAATAAAAGTCGCTTTCATGGGGATTTGGTAAATCTTCCGTGTGCATGTTAACACAAAAGAAACACAGAATAACAAACGGAAAAGACGGGCGGTCGCTTCATATGACTGAACTTTTAACTACTGTAACCCATCTAGATTTGAATTGTCGGCTTCACGGAAAGCATCAAGAATTATTAGTTTCTATACACTGCAAATGCTGGCACACATGGATAATAATTACTGTTGTGCATTAACGCAGTCAAACACCTTATGGATAACAGCTAAACTAGGCAGGAGAAAAGGGAAGTTATGCCCTGAAGCTAAAAACAAACTAGCTCATACAAAGTACCTGCACCTGATGTAATAAGACGCCCAACAATTCTTTTTTGGTTACGTACAAAATGATAATTAAAGCACTTGAAGTTTTAAGATGAAGTCTCTGGACAAAAAAGAACTTTTTCCTCAAATTCTGCTATCCCGAATGCATAAGCTTTCTCTACTTTTGCAAGTTATAAGGGCACATGGATTTTTATTGGCCAATAAATCAGAGGTATTCTCAACTAGGTTAATCTTCGCTTCCTATCAGTTAAAGAAGCCAACTGCAAAAGTACATTGAACTGTTATATGATCAACTAATGAAGGTTGACGTAAAGCAATCCGAATTCGGAGGATTTTAAAAGGCCCTAGAAAATTTTCTGTGGACCGTTCCAGGCGACAGTTCTGATCTTCTTTGTGCCGCAATAATTATTTGATGGAAAACAGATTGGGCATGCTTGTCTGAATGAACCTTTTTGCTAGATCGATGGTTAATTCAGATAAAGGACACTAACTTACCAAAACTAGCGATGCTGCAGGGGGTTCAGTGAACAATTATGCGTCCATTGAAACGTACAGCCATAAACAGCACAAAAAGTCTGATTAAGGCAGAAGGTTACTATGGATAACACTGGAAAAGACTCAGGAACAAAAGTCCGGGTTCGAAACTAATTTTTATGTAATTGTATGTCGTTCTTCCTTGGAGTGCATATGTTGCGCAAAATACAGTTAGAAAATAAAATTTAGGAGTGCAAAAAGGGAGAGTGGGCTTTGAGTCAGTTTGGCTAACTAACGCTTACCGTTCTTGAAGTAGTTGTCTCCCGACTTCCGACAACGTAATTTTGATTAACGCCTGCATGCACATAGAGATTGCATTAGAGGACACCAAAATATCCAATTCCATTGAGGTTTGACTCCTACCATGCTCAGTAGTTTCAGTCTCTGGAGTTGCATGCAACTTCGAGACAGGGACCCAATTGCCCACAAACAGAAGCAGAATGTCATTCAACGTTCTCAAAAGCGATCTACATAGTGCTGGAGATTTGCTGCTTGTTTCAGGGGAGATGGGACAATTAAACTGACTGAAGAAAAACTTCTCCTGTGAGGTCACAATCCAAAGCGCCAGTTTCTGAAAAGCAACAAAGAAAAGCCATCTGATACAAGGTTTTTGAAGGCGTAGAATTCGCTTACTAAAGTTGTGAGAGGGCTGGAGCTGATTCTGAGATCTCTGTTTGAAATGAAGGCAAATTATTGTCCTAGACAACCTTTAGGAATGAGATCCAGGGGCGCAATTAGGAAAGTATTGGGTATTTCAAAGAAATAAAGAACATGAAACAAAAAAATTATCTGGATGTGTAAGTGGTGGTTTAGCAGCCTTAAAATATTTCATGTGCTACCAGGTTGGACGAGGTTTGATTTCAGATGGAGTAAAAAAAAGTCCTTGAAAACCTAAACTTAAACCATTAGGATGATCTATTCTAAACCGTGATATAGCTCAGGCTGGCCTCTTCCAGGTTGTAAGTTTCGTCGGTAAATTATCTTTCCAGTCGAGGGCAAGACTGCCCTTTTGCAGCTGCTTCCTTCGAAAAAGCAGGACAGTTCAACCATCACCTGTTTGCCTACACATCTTCATCTTTACGAAGAAATATGCGACTTATAAAATATACCCTGTACTTTGGTCTAAACAAGAGCCGCGGGTCAAGGAGATATGGCTGCTTTAGATTACTCTTCTTCAGCACTGAGCACATTCGGAAACAACCCTTTATGCTCATTTGTGTGCGTTCTCAGGCCATAAGAAATAGGTTAGACGTACACACAATCACATTACTATGGACGCAGAGACTGCTGTTCCCTATTACGGCTGGTTTTATGATAAATTCCAGGGTGGAACGCATTTTCGGGTATTAATTTTAAACCCAGCCCCAATTCTCCTAACCATGACAATCCTCCTACTTGATCAGAAGAAGAAGCGATCGCTGGAACAATGGCTTTATTCGCCTGACGTTTCGGATTCTCTCTTGAATCCATCATCAGAGACAGTTGCAGAAAAGGGTGGCTCGTGTACAGGAAGTCGCAGTATTTATAGGATGCGGTCGGCATGCTACCGCATACCTACAGCAATTAACCGTGCTCCCTTCATCAAGGATTGTTGCCCGCTGGTGCGCTAATTGCTTGATGGCCGGCATGCAAGTTGTTAGTTGCTGACATCTCATCTCATCATGCTGGCGCCAACCCTAACGCCAATCGTAAACCCACTGGAATTCAGCCCAAGGCCGCTGTAATACGGCGATATCTATTTTCATATCCTACCCCAATATTCAAAACCAAGTTACTCTTAGACAGCGTGACCCTTCTGACCACTTTGATAGTTTTGAAATTTTAGCCTGCTTTTGATACTGTCAGGTGCTCAGGAAGTTGCTCTTATACGAAACACGTTGAGAGACAAATTTATGGCACGGGTGGCGTTGAATAAAAAGCGTAATGAAATATAAACCAGTCAACTCCTGATTAGTTTTGCGCAAGCTAAATGTATACTCCTTGCATTGTTGCAAATGAGTTTTACTGAATAGCCATCGTTAGGTAGTTGCTCCTAGGTTAGATTTTACTGTGTTCTCAAGTCTTCTGCATCGGAAAATGGTCAGTCACTCCATAAATAAGCTTAGGACAAGTCATCCGTTTGCTAGGATGGAGTAGTAAGATAAAAACTGCCCAGTAAGTGGAGGATCTCATAAAATTTTAATCAAAATTATAAACTGCGTCTGTTATTAGAAAGGATGACTTTGGTTGTAGAATGACTCTATAGGGCCAAACAAAACACTGCTGCGACTTACAAAAGGCCACTTCACGCCTATCCTGGGATGAAGTGAGCAATAAATCAACTACCCAACCTAAAATGTGTTTCTTCATTGACTTTCCCCCTCAGGAAATGGATCGTTAAAGAATTTTTTATTCGCCTTCCTAAAGTCAATCATCTTATATTATTAAATCTTTCTGCATTTGATGATTGCGCATTCGTCTGCGTAAGTATCAGAATGGATGAAAATGTCGATTTTGATAGAAAGGTTTCTGGCCCTGCTGGGCGAGACTCAGATAAACTAGTTCTCTTAGTGGACTGTCATGGTTAGGAGGATTAGGGCTGGGTTTAAAATTAAAACCCGGAAATGCGTTCCACCCTGGAATTCAGCGCTGCAACGCTGAAGCGATAGTCTCATTGATCTGCACATACGGTATATGTGCTACCTCATGAAACGTTACTCTAAGTTCCAAAATGCCTTTTAAATTCGAAAAGATTACTGAAATAGGGTTGTGATATTAACTGTCGTGCGAAAAACTGCCAAGACATTTCAGTCACTTTAAGATGCCGGCTCCTGAACGGGGTCTATTCCGGCCACCTGAAAACTATGTCCCGTAAAAATGACTGCTTAAGTAGCGTAATGCTCATATGAATCCACTTTATAGAAAGCGTACGTAAAAATATTTCTTCGGCTGTGCATGTAATAGCAAATTATGCCTTCTTAAAATTTTATGCTTGAAAAAGGGTATTTTTCGGTTTCAATGTGCTTCGAGTTAAAACCTTTTTCATGACGGCGAGATACGTCATTATACAGCATCGCACGAGCACATTTAGTGATGCTGCTCATAAAACGCTCAACGTGGTCCACATTCATTACAAAATTTTATACGCCTTTTATGCCCTCTTCTTAATAGCACATAGTGTATAATTTCCTTTGCACGGAAAGTACACAGCTTGTAGTTTGGAAACTCTGAATGCAAGCTTAATTTACGGTCGTGTTCAAAATAATGCAGGATTTGATATAGTTTTTAAAAGGGAAAGGTACTCTTCCTTTGAGTATAAAGTGTTAAAAAGATGTAGTTTACTTCTAGATAAGTAAAAGAAAAGGATATGTGGGTGTTCGCTTTCTATAAAATGCATTTGAATTTATAAGGCTACCGAAAATCGGCGGGGAAAATCCATTTCTAGAGCGGTCGATAAGACACTTGTTCTAAAACCGTCCGTCTAACATGACTGGAATACCCTAACATTATGCGGCACGACAATTAATTTGATAAGACTACTTGAGCAATCTTTTCAGATTAAAAAGACATTCCAGAATTCTAGTCAACATTTCATGAGATAGCATACCTACTGTAATTATCAAAGAGCTGCTCTTTAAAATTCACCTATTTATCTGAATCAATTATACTAGCACAAACGCAGTATAGCACTGCTCTGCAGACAGGCTGGAACCGCTACTCGTTGGCTCCACCTACTTGCAATATGACATGGGTAGTAGTACGAACGATATCAAGCAGATCAGGGTACAGCTAATACAGTAAATATGCTAACTCATGAAATGTCAACCAAAATTTCGAAATGCGTTCTCGTTTCGAAAAGATAAATTAAGTAGTGTTGTAAAACTAACCATGATGCAGCAAAAATCTATAATGGTCCAGTTAACTCAGGGTGTCCGCTTTCGAAAGAACTTATTTTCAGCTGCATGCAAGATCTATACTCTGCAAAAATGACTACTTAAGTAGCATGCAATTTTCTCATTGATTTTCGGTGCCCTTGAAAATTCAGTTATATTTCATGGAAAACATGCATAAAAATATTCATCCTTTTATTTAGTCGGTAGAAAATCACGTCTCCCTCCAATTTCATACTCAAAAGAAGAGTATAATTCGGTCTTCGAAAAACCTTTTCTATTTCCCGAATAATTTTGAACCCGACCTGCTGTTAGACTTGCATTCAGGGTTTCCAAACTACAAGCTGTATATTTTCCGTGTACGGAAAACCATGCATTTCTCTACGGTGTTAAGAGGAGACCATATGAGGTTCATAAAATTAAGCAGTGGATTTGAGCAATATTGTTAACTTTACAAGCCACATTCGTAAATGCAGAAACATGACGTTTCATGAACGGCCATTAAAAAATTTCACAATTAGAAACTTTTTTAAAACCGAATTATACTCTTTTTGAGTATGAAATTGGAGGGCGACGTGATTTTCTACCGAATTAGCATAAGAATGAATATTTTTATGCATGTTTTCCACGAAGTATAGTTGAATTTTCAGGGGCATCGAAAATCAATGAGAAAATTGCATGCTACTTAAGTAGTCATTTTTTGCAGAGTATAGATCTTGCATGCAGCCGAAAATAAAATCTTTCGAAAGCCGACACCCTGAGGTAACTGGACCATTATAGATTTATGCTGCATCATGAATAATTTTACAACACTACTTAATTTATCTTTTCGGAACGAGAACGCATTTCGAAATTTTGGTTGACATTTCGTGAGTTAGCACATCTACTGTACTAAGCTTATGATTAAAGGTTTGCATTTTCAGTTTTTGAAAAATGCCGCTTTTCTAATAAATTTTTGTAATAACTGTAGTATTTTCATTTGATGGGAAACACTGCGACTCCGCCTGTGGGAAGCAAAGTGTCAGAGTGATGAAACAAGAAGTCGATGAAGGAGAAATAATCAGCGGCCCCTGACTCACTCGCAAAACCAAGGAGTCCTGACGAAGTCTGGAGATAAAACGGCTATTGAGGAAGTATTCCGCCCGGGCAGATGCCATGGAGGTCAGCAAGGCACTCCTGTCAGACTCGGGCAAACTCGTGGCCGCACTGACACTTTCATCCCTAGTGGCCTCCTCATGAGCCAGGAGAAGTTCATGAAGCACAAAGGCAAGAGAGATGCAGTCCCTCAGTTCACAACTGATTCTGAAGGCTCTAGCAATGTCTTCACTTCTATGTAATTCGGGCTTAGGCAAGCTGGCTGTTAAGTGGTGACCAATACAGACTTCGAGAGAAGTAAGACAACGAGAAAGGGTAAATTGCAGTTGACGAGCGGACGCGAGTTCTCCCGTGTCTGCTTCACCGACGTCCGTTCGACACAGCGTCGCTAAAGAAGATAAAATTACAATAAGCATTGAAGCTGGTGAGCATTTTGGCTCGATGGCAGTGATTGCGTGCAATACTGAACTCGGGGCGTTTACAGTTCATTAAGAACTGACAAAGAGACAACCTTACAGCGGAAGCCTCTTGTATTTCTACGTTGGCATTTGGGCAATTCGTAGAAGTTTTGATAACTCCACGCCTTCGGTTCCCAAATGCAAGCAAAAGTTTTGAAAATTAGATCAGTATGGTGTCCAAAAGTGCGGCCCTCGCGACAATACTATCAAAAGCCTGAAGGATTGTTTACCTAGTAATCTAAAACAAACCACGGTGGAAGGACGCTCGCCGATCGCTCTTACGGAACTCACTCGTTCCGTTGTGCCTGACGAGCTCTCTTTCTCTCGAGCCCAACCAGAAGCCGCACAGCGGCGCATGATATATAGGCAGAATGTTATTACTGACAAAGACAAATAAGACTGGAATGGCCATTTCTGGCTTATTAGCCGTCGTCAGCCACTTGACGAAGACTGACGGCACCTAATAAGCCAGAAATGGCCATTCCAGGCTCCTTTGTCTTAGTCGGTAATAGCATTCTTCCTAAAACAAACGATACACGGTAAGTACTTTATTTTTGATATCCGCGCTCCAGGCACACATAAATGCCTCCCAAATATTTAAGGAACATGTTTTAAAATAATCTCAATTTGCATAATGAACTTTGGAGGGTCAAAATGTGATGATTTATATTCAAGATTTCTCAATTCCGCAAATTTTCCTCAGATATTGCATTAGGAGAAAAACACAACTAGAGTGGATGTGCTGATTCTGGTTCGAGGTAGTAGAATCCTTAAGGGAGCACTGCGACGGGCCCCGACTGCCATGCTGATAAAGCCACGAGGAAGCTGATATCTGAATAAATCATTCACGCATTTTTACGCTTTAGACTACGGCTTGCGCGTACTGTAGTAAAGCAAAGGCGAGGTGCAGGCGACGACTGCAATATAAAAGAACGAATTAAATAGTCCTCAGTGTTTTGTTTTTTCTCTCAGGAAGTACAACTCAGTTGCTAAGCATCATTCTGTGCATCACGCTTGCTAACGTTCTGCGCAAGTTTTGCCATCATTTTCACGAAAAAAACTGAAAATCTGGCTTGCTTTTTGCTGTTGCTAATTCTGCTCGAAAATGCATCCGGCCATAGTCAACGCTTTTCATGCTCAAGCGTAGAACTTAAACTGTTAGTTTGCTTTGAATGTACTTCTAACGAAGGAGGCGACATAGTATTCTGATGTACTTCGAAGAAATTCCAGGAAAACTGTACGAAAGTGATGCAATGAAATGTAACTGGCATTCACTATAATTGCTTTAGGATGTCTCCCATCCTCAAGCTCCATGAAGCTGCTGCAATCCTTTAAGGTTTTGCAGTAAGGTTCCAGTGCTTAAACAGTGGTTAACCAATAGGAAACGCGAGAAGACAACCTCCTTCGAGTGAAAATACATTTCGAGAAATATGCCGTAATTTTTGCAATTTTAGTGCATTATGCGTCACCAAATAAATGTTTTCTAAAATAGCCGTGATGGGATTGTTGATGAATACACTTTCTCATCGACCTAAGTACAAAGTTTCCTCAAGGCAACTTAAGCGGCACAATTCAAATACATGGATTTACATAAAGTATGGACCAAAACCACGAAACACGACGACGGAAACTGATATGATAATTTAAGGCAGTTAGAAGGTTGCACATTTTGCTCATTCATCCAGCCCCTTCCGAGAAATGTCCTCTTATCGTGAAAAAATATGTGTCTAAATAATTGTTCAGGTCAAATTTTAAAAAATTTGAACAGATATCTACGTTATCTTATTTTCGGACAATTTCCTTCGTTAACATCCGTCCATGACTTGCTTTACGCATCCCAGGCTGCTTTTCTTTCCGAGGAGAGTAATCTGACTTCAGGAGATCTGCAAGGCAGAGATCCCGCAATCGAAATTTAATCTTTTATCCGACGTTAGGCGCTTGATGCAGGTTGCGACCGTACAGGGTTTTTTTAGAAAGCCAACAGTTGCATCGATTTTTAGGTCAGATTTGTAAATCAATGTAGAATTTGCAAGGATTTACTGTACTAACAACACAGGTATTAGCTAAAAGCCCAGACGCGCGTGTTTTGTCGATCTTATGCCGCTGCCTGACGCATCTGCGAGGGGTTCGGCTGGGTCCCCCAGCCTTCTCCGTGTGTTTTCTGGTATGTGAACTCCAGTTTTAACATTCCTTGTTTAATTTCCGAGGAAACTAATGCGCGAACTCGGAGCAATTCTTTCGAAACCGACCTTTTCAGGCACGGTTCAAAGTTTAAGATGAATATTTGAGCTGAAATCCATCAGCTACTGTGGACTAACGGCCTAATATTCGCAAACCGCCAACAGGCAGCCAGACGTTTCCTCGGAAATTAAACAAGGCAAGTGGAAACTGGAGTTCATGTACCAGAAAACACACGGGGACAGCTGGGGAACCCACTGACGAGCCGAACCCCTCGCAGCTGCGTCAGGCAGCGGCATAAGATCGGCGAAACACGCGGTCTGGGCTTTTAGCTAATATCTGTGTTGTTAGTACGGTAAATAATTTCACAAGTCTATACAAATGACTGGCTGTTGGCAGTTAATGAATATTAGGCGGTTATTCTGCAGTAGTTGATGGATTTCAGCTCAAATATTCATATCAAATTTTCGACCGTGCCTAAAAAGGTTGATATCGAAAGATTTGCTCCAAGTTCGCACATTAGTTTCCTTGGAAATTAAACAACGTAACTCAATGTACTTTCTTCTCCAAAAATGCAGTAACAGCGCCTACAGGCAACCCTTTGCCTAAATGTGTCGGAATTGTCATGCCATTTACAAAAACACTATGAGTAACTACCAAAATGCTCAGCACCAAGTAGTCATTTAAAATTTCGTACGCATGGAAAGACATTTTTAGTACGGTCTGCTTGCTGTTCATATGTAATTTAGAAGCGGAACGGACGAAACGCCCACAGTTTGAGCAATATTTAGACACTTATGCCGCCACTCTTCAGTGCATCTACAATCGTAGAACAGAACTTCATACTAAGCAGAGACAGCAAAAAAAGCTAGCAAAAGGTGAAACACAAGTTCTCCCCTTTGCGGTAGAAACATCTAAGTGGTTTTCGGGTAATTAAAAGAACGGTCATGAGGACCGATGTTTTTCATGGTTTTACTGTATAAAAGGGTAAATGACGTGGACATCTGCCGGCAAAATACAGTATCGAGCACTTTGTAAATAGGCTACGAATTAGAGAAAGCTTTTCATTCGAAGAAAAGCATATCCGTCTTCACCGTTGGTTGAAGACTCCAGTTTTTTAGACAACGCAGCTTTATGCTTGGATGGGTCTTCAGGTGTGACTCAAATGACCATCTACATAAAAAAGAACACCCAAGTACTTACTACTTCGGTAACTGCTTTCAATAAATATCTTATCTTGAAAGTTTAGATAAACACATGTCCCAGAACCTATCTTTATGGGCAGTCGATTGAAAACACCGAAGACTATGAAGTATCTGCTGGCATTTAAAGGATAATGAAAACCAACAGACTCCTCCGTCAACAAAAAGGCCAAGAGATTTGACAGAAGCAAAGTATTCTTAATATCAAGGTAATAATTTCAGTAATTTTTAGGTGCTGGACATTGAGTTAAGTCCCGGGACGTGAAATCTTTGAGTCAGATCATAAATTTTAATGAACATTCTTAATAGGTACAAAACGGTATGCTCACGATTGCACTTGTCACTTATATTCAAATTCAATAGTAGTTGACAACTTTGTCAGCATGTGACGGTATGGGAGCTTTTATCCATCTGGCATCTCTATCAGCGACATCAAGCGGAATCCTCTATACTTTAGTTAGCTGCATCTAAGAAAATACAAAACAGAAAATTACGTCGGATTTTGCAAAGCACGATCTTGAGACAAATGGCAGGACATTACGCGCTCGAATGTGTCAAACTTCTTATAATCCTTGAAGGATATTTAAGGGAAATCCATGCGAAAAAAAGTTTACTCGTTACTGTGCTTATGGCGTTTTAGTCAGTTATTTGCCCGAAAAGGCATTATGTACTTCCAAAATTGGAGTATACACACGTCAGATGAATTTTCATATCTTCGGCATTTCCGTTTTTTAGGAAGATTGTTCTTTATACTCATCTAAACGGTACTTATACTACTTATTTTGAATTTGCGTTCAATTGAAGGCCGTCCATTACTAGTTTGGTGTTTTGGTGGATTCGTCCGGACTCCTTTCAGATTGGTTGGTGATTTTCCTTTAATTTAGGCACGTTTCATTAGATAAGTCGCCTACGTACACCTATTTGAAATTCAAAAGTATAACCCGATTCTTCCCGAAGTACCTCGGGAACAATCGCGCTGTATTCGTGGATTTTCAAGTTGGTGACATCAACGCGCCGTCAGACGAAATGAAGGAAATGGAGAATGTAAGGCTGTCATATTAGACCAATTGGCGCGACGGGACAGACAGTGACAGGCAGACCATTAGCGTTTTAGAGGGATGAAGTAGGCACGGGGTCACGGTAGGTTTCTGAGGGGGGATGGGAGGGCAGAATAGTTACGGCTGCCTGTGCCGGAGGGGAGGAAGTATGGTAGGTTGGCAGGGGTGTGAGCGGTTAGATTAGTAGTCGCTGATGCGGCATGGGGGCAGGGCTCAGCAAGTCATGAACGTAGGTCCTCGTAATGGGCGTCCAGGTAAACATAGCGGTTAATACTACCTACATTGGAGTATCAAGCCGCGAGAAGCTCTCTCGCTCGCTCTCTCTCAGTACCATCCCAATTGAATCGGTGGTCACACTCCAGTGCGTGCGCAAAGACGAGGGACAGTGGTTCACGGCGACGGAAAGCCAGTTAGTATTCATTAATACGAATGCCCAGGCGCCGACTCGCATGGCCAACATACACGCTGAACAATTAGCACAGCGACTGCGACGGAACACGTTTGTTGAACAGTCTTCAGGAATGGGACCATTTATTTGAGATATTTCTGAGCGCAGTGAGAATGCTGGCTTGTGAGCAATGCGAATACCGAACTGGATTAGCTGCGGGTTAATCACTTCAGAGGTTCCCCCCTTATAAGGCAGGAAGTCGAATTTTTATGTTATAATTTCTTCGTCTTAAGTGGGGTCTTACAACTGTATCTGGTTCCTGACGCAGTTCTTTACAAAGATAATCGCATATCCGTTAGATCAAAACAATCGGTACATGTAAGACATCTCTTTCTTAAGGAGATCATCACAGTAGGTCCGGTGGAGCCTTTTCATGGCAAACGGGTATACTCGCCACTTCATAGAACGCAACAGGCAGCTTGTGCCAAGCCGAAGTCCAGCGACAGAACGGTCAAAAATCTGGAGAGCGCTTTCTTACCTTGATGGCATCTCTGAGACAGTCTCCTTCTCCTAAGACCACTGGGGATTGGCCCATTGGCCAGAGTTAACAATTCGACATCTCGTCATGAGACCTATGATCCCCCTGTCACCCCGTGACACAACCTACGTCATTTATCGGATCCATTGCGGCTCCTGCGAAATGACCTACATTGGAGAGATCGGCGAAGGACTGCAGACCCGTGTTGGAGAACACATGAGAGCGATAAGATGGGCCCGTTGTCTTTGGTTGCAGAACACTGCGCAAACTATGGACACAAGTTCGCCTTCCCGAATGCTGAAATCCTGGGCGAGGAAATGGCCGTGTGACTAGATAAACAACCGAGGCCTGGCATACCGTCATCCGCGGTGTAGCGTCTCCCGAAGCGTACTAGGCCCTCCGGACGCAGTTCAGTGAACAGAGGAGCAAACCCGGGGTACGACAAGACAGAAGGACAAATACGGCCGCGCCCATGAGGGACACACGCAGCTGCACCGCAAACCGGATCTGAAGAAGGTGCGACCGTCATCACAGCCGCGTCATCCACTCACTCAGCAGGTGAGAAAACGGGCGGTCGCGGCAACACAAAGGGATCCGACGAAGAAGCTATTGTCACTGCCACTTTTCCGGCAGGTGAGAACACAGGGGGTCGCCGGGTTGTAAAAAAGATTGCCAGCCAAGGACGAGAGATCATATCAATGTGAACACGTGCAATGACGGCAAGCGTCCGAAAGCCGGCTCCCGATGAGAAGTAAACCCATTGCAACAAGATTGTCACCACCTATAAATATCCTGAGACGCGGTACAACACTCACCTCTGAAGATGAAAGCTTGTTTGCCCTTTAAACGCCAGAACAATACAATTGTGGTTCCCGAGATCGCCTAACCCCAAGTGTGAATCACTTGAGATTCGAACCCGGAAACTTCGGTCATGGAGTTTGAAACTACCATTGAGCCAAAGATTTCGGGTTTGAGTCTCAAGCGATCCACACTTCGGGCTGGGTGTGACCGGCTGAAAACAGCCAATAAGTCAGAAATGGACATTTTGATCTCCCTTGTCTTTGCTGGTACCATGTCACTTCTTCTACTAGTCGCTGTGCGACTGCCCTCAAAGGGTTCTAATATGAGCTTCAAGGCACAACGGAGCAAGAGTGTTCCGTAACCTGATCCATGAGCGCCCATCTGTCCTAATAAAGATTAACATTCACCATTTCCCGGAGATGAAGAAGAGAGGACGAGTTCATGGACCATATTTTATTTAGACTGGCGTTTCGGAAACGTCGTCGCCTCCACCATCTGAGTTGTATGGCCGCTACTCCTGCTAGTCTTCGGTTATTCGGCCTTGCCGAATACCCTATGTTATAGCTGTACTCAACACACGAACTTCGACCTGCCCGTTTGCCGCCGACTAGTTTTGATTTGCCGAGCCAGTGAGAAGATGGCCACACTGGTGCACAAAACCTGGTCGTCTACTGGCCCATATCACCGAGCGATAGACCTGAATCCCGCGTACTAGGCGCTGCTTACAAGGCTCGGATCAGCTCAGGCAGGACCAGTGGGGCAGGCGAGCACGGGGAACCGGGCGCCGACGCTCACGGAAATGAGGGGAGGCATCGGCCGAAGGTCGGGTCTGCAAAGTCAAACAGGCACACTGACTCGACTGCAACCATATCGGCCCCAAGAGGGACAAATGTCACGCTAGCCCGCCAACGGTCAATCTCAGGGAGGCTAAGGCTAGTCAGCAGGAAACGGGCAGGTCAGAGTTCGTGTGTCCAGCCCGGCTATAATACGAAACGGGTAGCAGGACTGAATACTTAAAAACTAGCGCAGCAGCGACCACATAACTCTGATGATGGAGGCAAGGAAGTTTCCGAAATGTCGGTGCAAATGCAGTTTGTTCAATGAACTTGCCCTCTGATCATCTTCCTATTTGTTTGGAAGATGAACGTCAGTTGCTTATTTATCCGACGTTCCTAACTCTCGCTCGAGCTTATTGTCAAGGAATAAAAGACTATATAAATCACCTCACCTCTGCCGAGAATGACCATCAGCTGAGCTATTGATTTGTTCACTCAGCGCTTGATAAGTGACTGGTAGATCTATATGCCTATTGGTCGAGTCCTTGGTTGAGTGCCACCCTTCCTGCAACAGGCACGAAGCTAAATCGTCCGAGTGGCCCAAAACTCTCATGCACTCGAAGTAAAAGTCGGGCCTAAATGAGGAGGCGTAGTCGACTACCAAGGAGAATTTGTCCTTCCGTCTCACCGCCAGCTCGCGCAATCTCGTCCAAACCTGCCAACATAATTGGTTTAGCTACAATTGCACTCTTCGGTAGATGATCCCAGATTTCTATGAGAATGGGATCTTAAGGGTGCATGAGTGGCCGGCGGATTATTGCTTCCGGTCTGTGAGCGACTCCAACCCAAAATTCGCTCATCGGTCTAGCGAATTCTTCTGATGCACAAACTATCTAGGCACTACGTATCAAAAGTTCGGTTTCGGCTGCCACTTTGGTTTCCTTCCTCGGCCTTGTCGTCTGCGCTTTCGACAAAAATGACAGGATGCGCGTTGACTATTCAGAGTTTCTGCCGGAATCGGACCCCGACCATCTTGTCAGCTGGCTCGGTGCAATGGGTTTTTACACGCCGGTAAAGTGTTCCCACGAGGCTACTTTTGTGCGAAAGGAAGTGGTTCCTAAGAAAACCTAGAATACTGGAGGTATTTGTCGCCTTCCTGTAAACTGCCTTTTTCAGTTTTTCATCGCTTTTTCTGTAAGCCAGCACGTCAAGAAACGGAAACTGGCAACCTTGTCTTTCATCGGCCACTGGATGTCTGAGAAGATCAACTTTATATGATGCGTGAATTTCCTAATCCAATCCCAACTGATGATGACGACTGAATCATTAAGATGTCGCGTCCACAATCCTGGTCGAAAGTAGTTAAAAACTGGTGCCTATAGTCGCTGTAACACTGCCTCGGCGATCAAACTAGACAACGGCGACCCCATCGGTGTACCTTTGACTTGTTCGCACACGACTCTGTTGAAGGCAAACAAAGTCTCCAAGCAATGCGTCAGATGATCGATAAGGTGTTTTATCTTGAGTTTTTCCGTCTTGTCATAATGTTCTTCTAACAAAGTTTGCATGGTTTCGACCGCTAGGTGTTGCGAGATAAAGAAGTGGTGTCACGTGGAAATATACCAACACTTCGTTATCTGCAAGTCGAGTAACTTTTGGCTTCTCAATGAATTGTCTAGTAGAGTTTATAGTCGTTTCAGAGCCCCGTGTTAAAAACTTCAGACGCTAAAACAGTCATTTGATCAAACCAAACGTTGGGGTGCCTCATGGAGAAAAAGTTCGTCGTACGGGAGATCCTGGTTTGTTGACTTTGGGTATACCACAGAATATTACAATCACAGAATCCTTGAGATATATAGCTTCTACACCCTAACGATAGGGTTGGCTATTTGGATAAAAAAGAAGTTGTCTTTATCATTCCATGTGGCAACTTTAATGCAGTATATTAAGGTCAAATTGGAAAATCCGCTTCTACACTCCTACATGAACACCCATTGGCAGTGAGGAGGCGAAACCACTTACCTTAAGTCGCCATGCATACACTAGAAACTGGGCACAGCTTTATTTGGAAGAAAACGTGCATTGTCGGTTTCTGCCCATATAAGAAAGGCCGGGAGTTTCTGGAGGCCATTCACTCCGATGACTCATGCATCAACCGGCACATCGATCTGGACGTAATGTACGCAAATCTCAAAGAAAAGCGGAAAGGGTGATAGCTAATTAAGATATGATGTCGGCCCACAACACCAACCCACTGACAGCACTGACAAAACAATGTGGATTTTTCAGGCATGTTTAAATTTTAACTGTTCTTCCCGATTTCTAAACGTCTGACGACGACCTGGGGAAGCAGCATCGAAAACTAACGAAAGGAAGTCTGTTCAATTTCCCAAAGGACTCATTTTTCTTCGAATTATGTTTCTTGGGATGCCAATATTCCAGTACATGCGTATATATGTACCTGCCTAAAATGACCATACACACTCTTGATACTGCGCACACCTTCGCATGCGACAAAACTCGCATCGTCGGAGTCTGCCCCTCTAAAAAACCTGAGTTTCCTGAAGCAATGCACTCCGATGAGCCATGCATCAATCGACACATTGAGTTATATGCCATGTCCAAAATTCCAGGGATAAGCGGAAGAGAAGAGAGCCAATCAGTACAGAATGACACACACGGCGGCCGCCTACAGGCGCAAACGCCAAATGAAGATCGATTTCTCGACAGGTTTAAATTAATTGTTTTTTTGTACATTTGCTCAAGTCTGACGACGATCTGGGGAACCGGTGTCGAAAACTTAATAAAGTTTTCTACTTTTCTGAAAGGACGTGTTTTACTTCAAAATATATACACATATGCATACCCCCTCTGAGCTACAGCATATGTATATGTCGAAAGATTCCCAGAAAGCTTGTCAAGGATAGCAAGCGATTCGGACATGCTTTATCGAACTCAATTCAAGGAAGAAACGTAACAATATGTTCATCGGAGTTCTCATTTTGGGCGGTCATTCTTGTAGACGGACTCTCCTTGCGCATTAAAAATTTAAACTGCAAAATTCTCATGAAAATCAGTCAAGTATTTGTGCTATATAACAGGAAAGCGTGTCTGCTGAAAGAGGGTGCAAGTTAAACAGTGGTAAGAGCCACTGCCTTGACATAATAATGGAAGTATTTATATTCTCCCCTAAGATGAAGTTCTCTAGCATAACCGGAAGAGTGAACTATAGTCGCCGGAAATTCACATAATGCTTAGTAGAGGAAGTATGAAACTGGGGCATGCATTGTGGTTGGGTAGTAGTTTAAATGTTATCAGCGTAGCGCAAAATAATAGAGATGCATTCATTAAGTGAAACTTAAGCAATGTTTCAGTGCCTATTCGTTTATTTCTAAGTGCAAGAGAGGGCAAAAAGCCTTGATATTTATTGCCGAGAAGGCTAAAAAACCCTTAATAATCTTCCCAAACATGACAAAGTCCCTTACGTATTATAATAATGAATGCAGTTAAACTTATCAAATCTGGCATAGTCTACGTGAAGCCACTCCGCCACATGCCTGCAGCAGCAACTATGGTAAGAATACATCTGCTTATTCTGCTTCTAATTGTTCCGATTGAATAGCTGAAAACACTGCAACTGCGGCCATTGCTTTGTCAGTATTTTGAATAAGAGAATCCAACTAATAGTCACTTTCTACTCAAAATTTGCCGTTTAATCACCGTTCATACCACCTTAGTGTTAACAACGAAAACGACTGGGATTCTCAATATAAAGCATGCGAGGACGGGCACTGAGATGCTGCAGGTAAAAGGTTTCTCATCATCTCTTACTGTACTGTATCCTTACACTGTTAGTAAAATCTCTTATAGAGTAGTTTGGGAGTTAGAAATATGTGCTGTTATCCTTCTTGAATAGACCCATTTCGATACTACTCCGCGAACTACAAGGTTCAACTACCAACTCCTGAAAAGCATACTTACTGCATCTAACAGAACGAATGGGATTTCTGTCAAGTAAAATGACTATAATAAAGCGGTGTTGCGTCCATGACAATGGCTCTAAAGACTGCATGATTTGTCGCCGAAAAAAATCCTGCTGAATAGGCGTATCAACGTCCGGCACCTCAGAGTTTTCAGTACGAATTTTATCGCTCGGCTTACTGCCTTATTTGGAGGTGTTAATACAGTCACTTTATGTGCATTTAACTTATAATGAAAACCTTTTATACAATAAGACGCCATGAAAAACAGAAACACGGCAAGTAATAATTTGAGGCCGTTCAAAATCTCTTATCACTTGTAACTTGTAAGCAAGCAACTTCCCAGTTTCCAGGCCTCGCTTTTATGACAGAGCGGAGCACTCGAGTAAAAAGACAAACGGAATCTTTATACTGCACCCTCGTAGTAACGTACAGTAGTGATCAAAGCAGTCGGTTAATTCTTTGTTTAGACTGCTTTTGTAAATCGCTCAGTGAATATGTGGTGGGATAAGTATGAAACTGCTAGTTTTTCCCAGAGAAGGCACACAATTGGACAGGACTATACATAAAAAGGACGGGTATTTAAAGGCCAATTGTGTTCACAACACGGAAGCGAACATCTGAGCAATGGGCATTCCGGAAAGAAACATTTGTTTACTCGAGGCCGACAAACCTGCAGACGGATGTGACATTGAGGAGAGATTGAGAATGAACGGATACATTCGTTAAAAATTTAACAGGGAAAGAATAAAGGCAATAGGTAAAAATAGCAGTATACGGCCATCACAAAAACAAACTCTCGCTATATCGTCTCAAGATACGAGACATCACGCAGTGAATTGTGCAGGAATCAAGTGAGGAAGTTGCATTTTCGGATTTATAAAGAACTAAAAAAGTGCTGGAAAAAATCAAGGATAACATCACAAGTGTGCAATTAGAGGAGCATTTTTGCAAACAAACTCCAAAAGAAATAAACGCGTCTATTCTTGTGAAACGAGGAAAATGAAAATTCTATTATTTCGTCACCCCATTATATTTTGTCATTTACGGCCTAACCGTAGACCATAGTGGAATGAACATCCTGGTCGTGCATGCCAACTGCATCTTGACTCAGCGTCCACTATAAAAGGTTACCGATTATGTTTTCGAATTCTCACTACAGGTTCGTTTTCAAAGATAGATGAAAAATTTTGGAAAGTGTTGGTATTCGAAAAGGCCGAACGTTATGGATCAGTTTACATAAGGAAGAATGTCTAATTGGACGAGTGACCAATGAGAGCAAAGTCGAAATTCAATGAAACAAACCGTCATTAAGTCGGTCGACCAGAAAAGTGTGTTCGTGTGTGGTGGGGAGGCTTATCGATCAACAAGAAGGAAACATTTGGGAAATTTATCTTGAAGAACTAAAAGACATAATTATTCTGGGACTGAAATTGGACTGATGTGGATAAGGACGGAGATTAAAAATTTCCCTTTAAAACGTCCCTCCAAGCAATACTGTGCATTGCTTTTTCTCCAATTGTATTTTGCGCTTAGAAGCTTCCCCGGCGACACAACGGGAAATTTCATCGACGTGGCACACACTATCGAACCAATCGACTACTGGCCCTGGTTCACCTCCACCTATGAGTAGAAAGTCTTACAAAAACACATACCTAACTTTATGCAAATATTGTCGGAAAGTTGCTATCAATATAGAAGCCGCTGGAAAAATCTAACCATCTGGAACCGTTTACCCCAAGGATGATTTCATTTCCTCTTAGGCCTCGAGTTCCGAATGAAAGCATAAAATGTCACGTTCAATCCGAAATTGTGGACACAGTCTGTCCCAAAGTTGTAACATTCCGTATCTTTGTGAAATGGCACAGATCGGTCTCCCTTGCTTGGGATATGAAAGATCACAACACTCACATGAACAATGGCCTTATCATGACATGCTCTACTAAATTCCAAGTAATGAAAATGGTCAAAATAGAAGAAGGCATACAAGAGTTATGCAGAACTGTCGCCAGTTCCGACAAAAAACAGGGGCCCTTATATTTGCGGAAGAGAGCACATCGTTTAAAAATAATGAGTGCCGTAACCTTAAAAAATCAACCCACCCATCCTACTCCGACACTTTTGAGGCAAATGGTTCCTGACTTCTTCGAATGCTGAGTATGCGTTCTTTCGTAGGATTTCCAAGGCGCAGACTACCTCGTCTTCGAGAAACGTACGAAAATCTCTTTGTTCTGCGGAAGACTCAAGGGAACACCGGTTACAAGTCGCGACTACTTTTTCGCGGTTGTTGACCCCTGAAGAAATGTAAACGTCAAATTAAGCCTTCCTGTAGGTATTGCATGTAAAGTTATGTCCTTCAACCCAAGTAAGGACGTCAAATTATATTGCCTGGTAAAATTTTCTGTGAAATAGAGATTTAAAAAGTTCATATTTACCTGCCTGCTGAACACTTCGAATGCTTAATGGTAGTATTGGAACTCCTCACGCATGCCTAGTCAAAGGCGTTTAGATCAATAGAACAGCATTTTAGCAGTCAAATTCTTCGACTTCGATATAGTTATTGTTCACCTTTGAAACATGCCTACTAAAAGCATAAAGCTGGGACAGTGGCTGTCATTAAGGTTGAATGAAATATTCATTTACTATTCTGAAAGCAAGCAATTTAACTAACCAAGAAGTAAGACACTTTCTACATGACGTTCATGATGGCATAGTCCCGTATATTAATGCTCCCAAGTCAAACAAGGAGAAAAGGAAAAATATAGAGAATTCAATGAAGATAAAATGTTATATGAGAGGTCAGTTATCGTCACTGACCACCCAAATTCGTGTTAGCTACTCTATTTCTGAGCTGCGACAGTCACGTTTGCCAGTTGAAAAAATAACTGAAATTCGTCTCCTACTAAAACGCATGACTAACTAATTTAACCGATGTTATGAACAAAAGAATGTCGATTATTAAGCATGGATGGCGGGAGTGATTACTATCGTTTCGAGACAGAATTACCAGCAAGGAAGAATGTAATCATTGTGTATAGTTAAGCAGTGCGGTATGCTGTAGGAGTTCTAATCGTCAAGTACAACGAACTGTTTTAATTTACGTAAAAATGACCATACCTTATGTTGTGTTCATCTTGGATACAGTCCAAGCTGATTATTTCGGGTTTATCAAATAAAATCATTGTGACTGCGAAAATAATTGTAGGGCCTCTCGGGCCAAAATTATTTCCTCTGTGGAGGTTACTTACGATATATACCGAAACTCCGGAAGGAATTCACCCACATTCTTAACTGTCATTTTATGTAAAAAGATTTTAAATGAAGTTGTAGTATTAATTAATATGGAAAATAACAAATAAGATAGTTCCTACGTGACTTTATGGTGGTTTTTGGTGGAGCATCTCTTTAAAGGTCTGTGTAAATCGCCCTGAGAAAATAAAAGCCTCCCAAGGGCATTTTTACCATAGGACGTTGAGTTATGTTAGTTAATTCACATTTATGAAAAAGGATACAAAATCGTTTTCCTTCTATTTATAAAATACACTCCTCCTTTAATTTCTCTTTGAAATGACGGCGTCTTTCTGGGCTAATATAATTGATCTGCTCTGTAGATGTTCAAACGCAAACAGTGCTGTCATGCTTATTGCGGGTTACACACACATTTAAGAACAATGTCATCTGCATTCTCACGTCTCGAAAGCGCAAAAGCTTGCTCTCTAAATAGTATTTCCGTAAGCAGCTTTTATATTATATCCTTTGTAAACATCGTCGATAAAAATGAGCAATTGCGACAAGTTCAAAAGCTTCGCAAACGCAACTTTGTTGAAAAGTGAAACGATAGTTTACTAGAAACGCCACAATGATAATTGTGTAATTTGACCCAAAATGCTTCTATTCGTTTATTTATTTGTGCACGTATTTTATAAGACATGATTGGACTAATGTGCACAAGATAAATCAAGTTAAAAAACATATTACTTAAGTTGGCGTTATTTTTTCCGCGTACCTTACCGAGGCGGACGAGAATGTGTTTAACTCCACGGCAATATACGGCCGCCTACAAATTTATTTTAGTTGTTACCCCATTCTGTTAGACACTTAAGTATTCCTTATATTTAAAAGCATTGACGGCATTTGTGAATGCCCTGCTGTTCCAATAACCGCGTCAACTCGTGGATCACCCGATACTGGTTAGGACTTGAAACTCCTTAGAAGAGGCAGATGTGGACATGCGAATTTATAGTTTGTTCCAAGGTCATATATGGTAGACCACTTAGTATTTGTATACTAATGGCTGCGTGTTGTCAATTTGTGAATATTACGCGGATAGCCCACGGCAGCCAGTGGATTTCAGCTCGAATATTCATAGATAAACCTTTGAGCTCCGTTCTAGGAGATTTATTTCAAGTTCACCCTTTCATTTTCTTGCAATTAAACAAGACAGCAACTCATACATAAAAGATTAACCGTTCGTCGACCTGCATGTCCAGAGCAGGAATAGGCACCCAGTAGATTATGTAGTTTCATAATCTTATATAAGTTCTCTGGTACAAGTTTTTCAACACCGTTATTCGTGAAATTGTAATTTCGTCGCAGGACAGAATTTAATTTTCTGCCCAGTCCCACTGTGGACTGGATTCTTATACTATGAGAGTGTCGAACACACCTGAAGTCCTCGGCAGGATTAGAATTATCGATCAAAACGGTGACGTCAGCGCGCCGAATCTAAAACTTTGACTGAGTTGCAGAACCGAAACACAGCAAGTGCACATCCAGCTTCCCAGGCTGGTATGGGAAGAGCACACACTCAAAGTTAACTGGGTGAGGATTCTCGACTGCGACAATTCACCTTAATAAGCAGTCTTCTTTGGAGTTAAAAATTTCGGTTGTTCGGTTTCCTGAAGTTTAGCGAACAATACATCCTCACTTACAACAAGCATGCTCAACTTCAGGAGAAGAGCACGCCACAGTAACAATGGCGGCGAGGAATAGGATACCGATGGGAAATATTGGCAACAAAGTTATCAGGGACCAAGCAGCGCCTGTGTTGGCGCAGGTGTCGTTGACTGAGAAATCATACATAAGGCGCGGAATGCTATGAAAAACTGACCGAACTCTTTAAGTATCCATTCGAATAGGGAAGATTAAAAAAGCAAATTTCTAAAACTAGTTACCATTTGACCTAATTAAAAAAAATTCACTAAAACCCAATAGCATACCTTGTTATGGATAAACATCGTCCAAACACCCTGTGCCAACTACTAAAAAACCTATATCAGTGTCCGGTCTTTTTTCTGACTTCAGTCGTTTGTCCGATTTCAATAATAATTTCTAGAAGATTTGCAAAACGGCGATGTTGCACTTAGTTGATCAAACTGTACACTTGTAGCAGGAGTACACATATCGGCTTAAGCCGTTTACTGACGACTGTATCTAGTCAAAGACGGGGTGGGTTTTCGGCCGTTCTTATGGTTAGATATTAGGAGTTCATTTAAACCGCAATCACAGGCAACATTATGCATCTTCGAAGATCCTTCCTAATACTCCTAAAATAAACAAGTATATATGACTTATGTTCTGCATTTTAAATACGGCATTAATAAGTCTGCCGATAGGAAACTTTGCGAAAAGTCGTGTCACTCTCGAAAAGTCCCACAATAAGGACCAAAATGTGCCGTTTTGCCAAATGTCACATTGCGAGAAGGCAGACTTTCTTCCAAGATGGGAATAAGAAATTGATTTTTACTTATTGCCTGGGATATATTTGTGAACTTATGCAATTCCTCCAAAGTGAAACAATTATTTATGTCCGAGTGAAAATTGCAGAAGTCGCTGGGAAGCTGCTTGACCAGAGGCCAATTTATTGACTTTGGAAGGTATTCCTCTCTAAGTGGCCTTGTGGTCTAGTTTAAACGGTGAATATTTCCACCAATGTTTCATAAGTTTCGACAGTTTCCGTGGGTCCGAGCAGTCAAGACATTATTACTGGCACTTAAGAATCTTTATGGCGGACACAGTCCAACCACTGCAAGTTAAGGCAACACTAAAAAATAATATGACGAACAGGGTGCCCAATAAGTTTGAATACTGGAGGCCTGATAGTGAAACAACGCATTGATATGGTCTGTTTGGCCTTCTTAAAATGGCGGCATGAACTCCGACTGCACTAGGCCACTTTGGGTTTGTCCAGTTCCCAGGAGTCTGATTAAATAGAATTTGGTATATGGAAATGGCTCAGGACACGCGTTCATGTATTCAGATCCAATTCATGTACCTAAATTGCGTCACATATGCCCTTGCATCCGGCTTGTCTGTTTTTTTTTTGCAGTAAATCACAATAATAGTGTCTGACGCAGGTTGATTATCTTTCACTTTAAATGGGCAGTCCGGTAGAAAACACAAATCAATGTCCCAGATCTAGCTGGCTTCTGATCAGCCCAACGGAATTACAGTCTATGAAAACTGATCGATGTTCGACGTCGTGTTTACAGTACTTCCATTTAATCTATGGCCCATTTTATATTGCAATCTATCTTAATGGTATTTTAGTTTACGGATGGTAAGATTGCAACTATCTTGGGGTGACAACGTGCTGGCAGCTGTTATCTTGGGGTCGCTGATGCGGGCACTCAGCCTGGTTCTCTTTCAATTATTGGATTCCGCACCGTATGTACTCAACTCTAGAGTTTTCAAGTGACTAATTTTGTCCCAACTTGATGATTATAGTAGAAATTGATGGTTTCGACTGGGCACGTCGTCCGTGTGTCTGCTGAAGGGGACTTTAGGCTGAGTGTCCTTGTTCCGACAGGTTGTAGCCTGATCTTATTCCACATCTCCTTATAGTTTTTTAATGATCCTGGGCGTATGCTAAAGAACGACTTATCGCAATAGCAATATTCTTCAATGCTTAAGCCTCAAGTGCATAATTTTTAAAATCGGTAGGTTTTTGGGTATTTGAGCGAAAAACGGCCCCAGTTATAAAGGAAATTAGGCTTTGCGCACAGCTGTGTACTCAGATTTTTTGCGCAAAGGCATCGAGTTATTTATTAAAAAAAGTAACAACGTATAGCAACGGAAAGCTCACATGTATCCCAGGAAAGGAGGTGGGCAGCCGACTGAAGGAGATCTGCCTGACGCAGCAAACCGCGCCTCAAGCTACCGGGAAGTTTTTCTGCACAAAAAAGCCAACTGATTAGGTAAAATTAGCGAAGGTCGAAGGGAAAAACTATAGGTGTCACATTTTAGACAAAAAATCGTATTTAAACCGACTGACAGACATATCTTTTAAAAAAGCATTACTAACAAAGATGGGGGAGACTGGGGTGGTCATTTCTGACTTATCAGCCGGAACCAGATGGTCATACAGAACCCCGAGGTGTGGAACGCCTGGGATCGATCCCGCGACCTGTTGGTTTTCCTGTCGTTTGCGATCGGATATATACAATGGTAGAAGGACTTCTAACCAATAAGTCTCGTGATAGAGCCCCGGGTGTTCCACACTTTAGGGTTGGGCATGACTGGTTGACGACGGCTAATAAGTCAAAATGGCCATTCCAATCCCCCTTGTCTTTGTCGGTAAAACTATTCTGCCTATATACCACGCCGCTGTGCGGTTGCTTTCGGGACTCGAGTGGGGGCTCCAAAGCACAATGAGACGAGTGAGTTTCGTAGCGAGAACGGTGAGCGTCCCTCCGCTATCACATTTCGTCTACTTTAGTGGCTTACCTAGTCCCAGTTTGTTGTAATTAGCGGGCTGCAAGTGTTCTACTATTTAAATGCCCGGTAATAAAGTTGCATGAGCCCCATACATAATTGCGAATGGTTATATGTCTCCAAGGCCTGCAGCTGCGAAGTCGCTAGTTTCAACAATTCCTCGGCAGAGCCGCTTGGCAATAGCATGACAAGGACCAGAATGCAGGAAGTAAAATATCCATTTTTTGCATTTAAGACTGTCTATGCTATATTGACTTCTGGAGCTTTGGTTGACACAACGTTAACCTAAAAACCAAAAATTGTTTCGTAAGAAATCTCTGTTTGGGGTCAAAATGTGATATCCGCTAGTCGCATTCAATCCACTGATGTGGGCAAAACACTTAGGACTTCGAAAATACCTCGATGGACTACATGTATTGGTCAGAGATTTTCGATAACTAAAAGTGCTGTCCGAATTTCGCTATTGGCCGGAAAAGCACATTTTGCTAACAACCACGCTTGTGAAAAAAATAGATTAAATTCCGTGCGGTAATTTCCTTCTGGATTAAAAATTATACAGAACACAATGTGCTATACAAGAATAAATAGTGGGTGCGATATATGTCAAGGAAGATAATTTGCACAGCTACGAGCCGTTTTCAGTCATCAAACGTCGTTCGAACCTTCTGTTATTGCAAAAGCTACACCTGGACTATAGGTATCCCCCCGCTTGCAGATAATTGAATTGTCATCTATTAGGTGAGACGAAGATCACGAGCAGCTGTACAAACCCTAACAAGAGGGGGGAAGAAATTTCTAAACTTTTTACACTGCTCAAAGCTGTGAATGTACTGCAAAGACTTGGCATGCTTTTTGCTCCTTAACTAATATTTTGGAAATCAGTGCATGAATTTCTTAACAATAGCTTGTCCCCGAAATTGCGTCTGCAGTAAGTAGTAAGGTCTTATGTTTAAATCCGTTTGCATCTCAAAAAGTGCTTTCCTCCATTTATCCAAATAACCATTCAGAAGACGAAGATGCGATCACTGAATCTTCGCATCTTCGTCTTCTGAAGTCCTTCCTGGAACTCGTCTGTTCGCTTCTATCAGCAAAATAATCACTGTAGGAACGTTTTATGAGGATGATCCTTAAAATGACAGAACCGTTAAATATTTGTCCCAGATTCCGAGAGTCTTTTAATAAAAAAAACACGATGTCTGAGCGACCATACCTTACACAATATTTTAGCCTTTTAATTGTATTGATATTTAAGTCTTCAATACTAAAAGGAAGGATCGCTTCAGCATTAAATTAACTTATGTTAGAAACACCTAACATCTAAGCCACACATTGGGACATGGATTAAAAGGCAGGGTTCATGTAATTGTCAAAACATTTTATCCACTTGCAGAGGAAATTTCAACAGTGACCAACAATGACCAAGACTTGGGCTGAAAAGGCCTAGCGCTTTGGCGCTGACCATATTTCGATAGTGCATGGTTCTTATTGGCTGTGTTTCAGCGCAAATCGAGTAAAAGTGCGCGCTGGGATTTATGCTCCAACATATATAAAAGACAATGTACAGCACATAGTTATGTATTAGGCGCGAATAAAGTATCAATCAGTATGAATACAAGTGGGGCTCTGAGAAGAGAGTGCGCAACAATTGTCCAATTACTTTAAAGTCTGGTAAGCTAGTGCGAAACCACTGCAGGGAAGAGAAGGAATTGAGGACAAGGGGAAAGAGAGAGAGGGAGTGGCTCCTAAGAAGTCAGACATTTCTGATTGTAACCTTCAAAACGGAACGCAGATTGCTACTCTATCTGATGCAGACATCGCTAATTTTGGCAACAAGTCTTTCATGACGTACTTTTCAGCTACCAAACGTAGACTCAGGACTGGAGAAATGCACCCATTACTCGCGCTGTGGACATACGGATTTACTGCTAAAGTGTTATTTAGCAGCTCACATTTCTTAGCGTCGCTAGCTACTGTAATTGGGAATGGTTTGCGCACAGAAGCCGTGCTTGCGGTGGGATGGAAAATTTCATTGGAATAGCACGCGGAGCGGCCAGAACAGCTAAGCCAGTAGATGAAGTTAACTATACTGCGTAGTGAAACAATATGTCATGAACGCTCTAGCTAGGAAATAATGCCACTCGCAACCATGTCACAATCTGTATCCTGCCTTATCCGAAGTTATTTCCAGTTCGTCCCCTACAATAGGGAAATATTGGCGTTGGCGCCCGCCATAGGCGGCCACGTGGACTTTCTGTTTTCGGCAGAAGATACAAAGTGCAATATATTTTAATTTACTTGCAAATAGGAAAAACACATATCTCAAGCAACTGATATGAAAATAAGATAAAACAAATTCACGATTTACCAAGATACGTACTGTATTAAGCGTCTTTCGAATTGTATCCAAAACTAGTATGCTGTTTGGGTTTTGGTTCGACCATTTATTTTACGAAGGATTGCTTTCGAATTTGCATCTACTCGCATATGCCACTGCAGATGCTGCTTGTGCTCGCCCCTTGCAAACGGATAAATAATCATGTCCGTTTCTAGTTATCCCAAAGACTCCCGTTCAAAACCGCACTTGAAAATTATATACGTATATATTGGTCACTAGCATTTACTGCACTTTCCAATCGGCAGTTCGGCCATAAAGCAAATTAACGATGAGGGTCGGAGATTTTACCCTCAAGTGTGAACCACTCTCTAAAATTGCAGTCCGTGTGCAACTTGTCATTTTTGCAAAAAAGAATACTGTTTACCGCAGCGCATAATTTGTATACAAATCTGTTATGGGAGACAAGTGCCGAATATGAAGTATTTCACATGAAACAGCCCTTTTTACGAATGGTCTACCAGCATCTGTGCACGTGAGCGTTAGAGCTTGAGCGTCAACATAACATTTGATACAGTACGAAAGGGACTTCACGAAGACTCAAGTTGGATTGATATTCCCTCGCCAAATAATAAATAAGCATTAAAAATCAGGCAAAAATGTTATATCTAACTAGGTCATTTTGTGGATGTTAGGAGTGGGGTATGTATTTGACTTAACATTTGAAAAGGAAAATTCAGGTTACATTTCATTGTGCGTAAAAATACAGGTTTCAAATACATCCGTCTGATAATCTGCAAAAAAATTTCCGAAACATACAGAGTATGCAACAAACAGTCTACGTCGTAGCAAAACTTATGACGTAAATGTGATGCTTTGACGGTGCCTAATAGTTGCCCTTATTTGCGTTAATGTGCCGAAGGATTTAAATTTCTGCTCGTCTTACAGAACCAGAACTGCGAGTAATTAAATATCAGACATCGAAAATCCAGATACTTTGGCGGGTGAACTATTGACAAAGTTCTTGTTTACGACTTCACACACGTTTCTGTTGAACCTAAAATTCGCGTACTCATCTTCCGCATGTATAAAAACGCAAGGAGACTGAAGCAAAAAGTGCCGCATTCGGGAGTCAGTCCACAGCCTTGATTCAATACGCGAGTATCTTGTTTTCGGAAAAAATAAATACAGCGGTTCCGATCCTTTCTGCCTTTTCTGTTGTGAGAAACCGTCACTTGCAGGTAGTTATCCGCTAGTCCGATTTAGTGAATTAACAGGGATTGTTTCTTATATAAATAAAAATTTTCAGACACCGCAGCGAATATTATAATTTAGAAAAAACAGAAGGAAACAAGTCTTGACCATAAATCCAATAAACGGAGCTGGTCTTGTGCAACATTTTAACTTCAGGAGGAAGCATTATAATATCGATTTGTTGTTATCACCAAAGCCCAGTATGAAAAAAGCAAGGACATAACTCTTCTGAGGAGACCCGATGTTTTATACCACGTTCATTTCAAAAAACATGCAAAAGGGATAGTTCGGAGAAAGGACGTCCTTGCCTCTTAAACCTACTGTCAAACAACTCTACAAAATTGCAATCTGTTTTGACACTGTCCAACAGCTAATCCGAATTTGCGTTAATGCTATCGGAAGAGGTCGGAAAACCCAAAACTTGCCCGTCTTGCGGAACTAGAAAACTACACATCGCATGCGAGACTGGGTCGCTTGTCACAGTTTTTTCTAAATAGTATTCCCAACAAGCAGCGAAGCCTAACATGACAGGCTCTGCGAACCCATATTAGGAAAACTGACCGTAAAAATGCACAATATCTCCGTTCTTGTAGATTTGCTATACTAAGACTCTGCCTATGTGAGATTCTCTGTTGTTTTGAATACTGAATGATCAAGTTTATATAACGCATTTCGAAACAAACTAGACCATTCTAAATAAAGCAAATATTACAAAAGTATTTTCAGACACTGAATGCTCCCTCATATACAATTAATGGTCAATATTCTACAGAATCGCTCTTGCAAATTTTGTTCGCGTGACGGCCAAACGACAGACAGTAATAATATTCATAAGGCGCGTCGACATTCGATAAGCATCTACAAATGTCAGTATTGATATGGAAAATTACAGTGAGGACGATTCGCTATTATATAGAGTTTTAGGCATTGGAGTAAAGACAGAATATTACAATGGATAGGCGTTATCACAGCTTTGAGCATCCGATCCGAGCTCCAATAAACAAAAGTCAAAGGAAGAGGTATCACTCTGTAGCGGGTCAAACCAGACTATTTTCCGCTAGACAGATTAGGCAGAAGATGTGATATTTTTACTAGCAAGTTTTGCTTTAACAACCAGTCGCAGTCAAAGTTGTGTTAAGGTTAGTATTTGTTCAAATCTTTTGTGCATCTTCAATTCCAGAGCTATAATATATTGAAGTCAAATGCGGACCTTATCTACTCTTTTTGCTAAATCTGGCTTACTCCAACGAAAAGAATATTTGCAATTACTCCAAAATGCCCAAAAATACACGAGTAATGAAAGGCATACGATTAATTGAATAAAAATGAAACCTAAAAGTTTTTTTTACTTTTTATAGAGACTCGGCTAATTTTAGGTCCCCTTATATTTGCCAACAACTCTAAAACACATTTAATATTTCAAAAAAACTCTTAGTTTTCAAAGTCATCTGCAGCACTGCTATTTATCTGTTTTGATGATTACGGTAACGCGAGATGTGTACCTTTCAAAGCCCGCCTTTGGTATAATGCTGCCGGTGAAAAGGCATAAAAACAGGTGCCCTGATTAAAAGTTGATAGTCGGCTCGTTCATAAGGCAAAATCCGAAAGATGCCTATTTATTGAGGGCACAGCTGGAGCACACACATAATGGGCTGTCAAATTCTCTCCAAGTTAATCAAAGTAAAGGAAAAAGGACTAGAAAAACTGATCTTCTAAACGCCGCTACGTGCACTGTCAAAATGTATTTTTTCGACAAAAGCAGACACCAACCAAATGCAGAATTTGATTCGTTCAGTGGATGAACGGACGCCACAAAGGCATCAAAAGGCATCAGAGAGCAATTAAGTGCTAGTGGCGGGCTACAAGTCATGCAGTCAGCTGCAATAATTAATACTCATTTGACTTTCCTTAATTTTACAAAGACAGTCAGAGCAGGAGTCAACAGACGAGATGGACAGGCCAGTGCACAACTGTCTGTTCAACTTAATTGTAATGTTCGGCCTCTTACGTGAAGCGCTACAAACTGACGTCTCTAAGGACACGCTTTAGAAGAGGTCTCAGTCTATTAAAATTTAACTTTTAAATAACATTGAAAGTCGAAGTAAAATTATCATCACTGGTAGTTAGCAGTTCCGTCTGTCCCAGGAACATGGTTTCAATGATCGCTTAAGCTTGTGAGGAGGAGGATAATTTTACAAAACTTTAACGCATACTATGAGGCAAAAATAGCACGAACTGTCTCTAGCACTCATGGTAGGTGTATTCTGAAAGCTTACAGGACAATTCAAAATAAGTGCAATTGCCCGGTCGTAATAAGAAAAGAACGACCAGTGCATGAAGTGTATTCACGATTACGTTATGCAACTTACTTCATCAGACCTTAATGTAGTATCATAACTAGGACATTTTTTTCTATAGCAAATCACGGGAAAAAAGAAAAACCTCTTGGCATCTGACGGAGAATGTCTTCTAGCTGTGTATGCTTCCTCATTTCACAGTCTGTCATAAGCAGAAATTTGACTTATGACATGAGCCATAGACACACGTAAAAAGACGGTTTACCAACCAATATCTTTGAGACTTCTCAAGCTGCCCGACATCTCCACAATTCCGCTAGTTGAGAGTAGTGGCCACGCCTTCCGTGAGCTCAAAGCTAGTTCGCAGGGTTTTCCAGATGACAAGTTTGAGAAGTCTTCTTCCGTCGGCCACCTGCATTTTACGGAGGGGTACACGATCTGGAAGTTGGCGTCAAACTGACTGCTAGCACCCGTCCAAACCAACTGAAGATAGCGGCCTACCACCTGATGCCGTAACGATACTTCACAGTAGTCACTCCACTGAATTAACCTTCTTCTGCCAGCAGTCATTCCAGTCGGTTTGTCGTCAAGCTGCATGTGGGAACCAGTTTGGAATGCTGGTCGTGATATTGGTGTTCTGGAGGTCTCTTGGGTGCCCTTCGTATTGGCTGTTAGAGGTACTGGCATAAACGAGGAGATGAAGTTGTCCATTGATTCTGTTTTTGAAAAAGCCACACACTTCCCACCGGCCACAGCATGAGAGCCAGACGCAGACGGTTCTCGAAGGTGAGAGAGTTTGACAGCAGTGGCGATATGACTAGCTTCATTAGATATACTTTGCTGCCCAGATGGAGCATTAGAGATCTCATCCTGGGGTTCCGATATGGACTTCTTCCGACTTTTCGAGTGAGTGCAAAGAATACTTCGCACATTAGGACTGCCCTTTTCGACGGTTGAAGGTGTAGAAACTTGCTGCAACCGACGCAAATTCCGTAGGAGCTCCGTAGACTGAGAAGTTACGTCTAGAAAGTTCGAACAGAACTCATATTCGCATCGTACACTTTCCCGGGCTACAATTGAGCAGACACTTTCCTCCGGAGGCCCATGCCGCGGCGGCTGCAGAATCAGGTAGGAGAGATAGCGTGAAAGTACTTGAGATCGATATTTGGCGAGGAGGTAGATAATATGACCTACAGAGGCCGGCCGTAGTTTGTCAACAGGGTCGGCCAACAGACCAGCCCTTGAAAGAGAGCTGTAAAGTACACTGCTGTCACAGCGGACTGCATCGCCTCGACTAGAACGGCAAAAAAGAAGATGACGAATTTCTTGCTGCCTCTGCGTATCCATTTGTTCCTGAACTATCTCGTCAAGCATACTGAGTTCCTCCATTCCCCGTGTGATCTCCCAGAGATCATTGTGCGTATATGTCGTAAGTTCAGACTGAGTAAGTAGAAAGAGGCCTGCGTTTACCAAATGGCTGGCAGCCATCAAGACGGCCATCAGCAGAAGGGATTGAACATGTTGTTGGAAGGGGTCTTTGGCAGAGGCGTCTGGATCCACCCAACACCCAAGTTCCTTTTGTAACAAAGCATGAGTTCGTGAAATCAGAGAAATTCCTTGCCTTAGACCTTCACAGATGTTGCGAACGCAGCTTATTCTGGTTTTTTCACCTGTAACTATTGAAAACGTTCGGACCGGGCCGGACATGCTCGTGAGAATGTTATCCTCATGGAGTGTATGCCCACCGGCAGCCTCCGTGTAATAGACTTTCTCATATTCCTCTTCGGTGACTTTGTCAACCGTATTGGAGAGCTCAACAAAATTAGAGAAGACAGTTTCGGTGCGAACGTTTTTTGCATGCCACCAAAGGACACGCTTGGCCGAGTGGATGAACGTTCGGAGACTTCGACAGCGAAAGCCATGTGAGGGACAAACTGAAATCCTCGAAGCTCCTACCAAACCGCCGTCCACGCTCTAACAGAACAAGGCAAAGCAATGAAACAACTGTCATTCATCGACAAAAAAACACAAGCCGGTACAAAATAAGTAACATCTAAAACTGCATAGCAAGCGCATTCCTCTTCAAAAATATTAATCGAATGAATTCTTTGAAACAATCAGGAGTTTAAAAAATGGGCTGAAATTCCGTCAAGAATATCAGTAATTCGAGAGAGAGAGAGAGAGAGAGAGAGAGAGAGAGAGAGAAAGAATATAACAAAGAAAAAATCACTGGCAGAATATAGACCTGTCACTTGGAACCAACAGAGAAAATATTGCATGCCACGACGTCTAATATAAATATAACCCAACAAGACAGTCATCACCTTCTGTACGCTCCTCTAGCTCCCCTTTTCATATCGCTTTTAAACCGCAACTTAGGCATTCTTTAAGTCGCTCTCACCAATGCTTTCTTTATAGACAGCATATGTTAAGGATTCCGATTAATTTGTTTGTTTTTTATTTTAAGAAGTATCAAACAATGTGAGTTTTATGAATGTCTGAAAGGAGCAACTTGTCCGAAACAACTACTCATCTGATAAACGTTTTACCTAACCTGGGATTTACAAGCTAGTATATTTACCTAACGTAGAATAAACCAAAAGGCAAAGAGACTGATACTACCTTTCTCGTTAATATGATCAATCTTCCTAAAATTTTCTCTTATGTCCAACCGACGGGGTGACTGGTAGTCAGGCTTTTCGTATCTTGGCTTTACGGTTAATCGCGCAAAGTAGCCGCGTTCCTGCTGCAAGACCATCCAGCTCTCCCAGTCGTGGCTGCCAACCAGCGCGATAACAGCCGCAGAATCTAAATTGCTACTTTTGTCCGTGTGGTTTGGCTGTGAGGCCATCTCGCCGAAAATCGCATTAACAGCAGGGAGTTGTAGAGTCTGATAAGCCAGGAGTGCGTTGCACCGACTAGTTGAGTCTTGACGGGAAAACAATTTCGGCCAATCAGTGCATACACAGAGCACACGATGTCTCAGAGCGAAAATGTGGTTCGGTTCTGCTGAATGGACTGCAGCTTCAAACTGGTGCTTACTCTCCAACGCCGCACAGCACCCCTTTGCAAAGTTTTTGAAGACAAACTGGTAAAAAAGATACTGTTATTTATGTTTGTGGGGCTCCCATTAAAAAATGAAAGTTGGTGTAAATTTCGGGTTATCACTCGTCAGAAATGAATCACTGTCGGTTCGATGTGGTCCGCGATATCTTAACTTTGGAGCTTCTAGTTTGTTTAGTTAGCTTTTCATTCTGCTCAATAAAAGGTTCTTATTAGAAATCACCTCGTGTTACTCGACTTCTCGTAAAATGAGCATTTCACTTTTTAATAAATTGGTCGTCAAAACCTGCAAATATATTGTTCTCGAATTATGCCTGCTGTAATATCATTAAGCCGTTTTTCCTTGGTAATCCAAAGTTTTTCGGCAAGCATCTTATCATAACAGTTAGGGGACATAAGTTGAGAACGGCATGAAACAAGCAATTTTCCAGGAGTCTCATGTAGTAACTTAATGTTAGCCCCTTAAGCAAGCGAATAGAGGATATAATGGTGTTTTGCTTGAAAACATTTAGCTTATGTGCAGAAAAGACTATCCAAACACTGCCTGATTTCACATAATAACCGTATAGCGCTAATTCAATTCGCTGCCTTGACCTCACACGGGAAAGCGAACATCTTATCGCTTTATCTCAGTTTACCCTCCAGCCTAAAGGGATTGACCCTTTGTTCACATGAAAAATGACCAAGGCAAGTCTACTCAGTCAAATAACGTAGGCAACAACAATAAAAGACAAATTTAACAGGAAAAGAATATTGCTTATGAGTCGTGCTGCTGTCCAAAGGATTCTAAAACAGTCAGCAATAGTTTAGCTGAATAATATGCGCGTAAAAACTAATAGGTCAGTAGTAATTCTTGAAAGAGCTTTCGAGCAGGCCGTCAAATAATACAGAGAAAAGGCAAGCAGCTAAACGAAGTACGCACGCACGCATAATAGCCAGTGCAGATGAATTTCCATGGCTCTTCCACGCAAAAGTTCGAGGAGGAGGAGGAGGAGGAGGAGGAGGAAACGTCCGGACAGACTTTGCCCACTCCCAACTTATCCACACGCTGTACGGCTTTTTATGAAACATACCCGCGATGAAAAGGCGCTTGTCGCCATCACGATCAATCCCCAGCATGAGAGTCGTTGTGACACTCTCTTCTCAAGTTTGCGCCTCATGCTAAAATAAATGTTGCTGTTTCTGACCCCGTGATGCTACGCAAGCTACTTGTCAGCTCAGTGCTCCCTATGAGCACAAGTGAGTGGAACATAGAAATAAACATGACAGTCACCAGTCATGTGCAAAACGAGCATGGGCGTGAAGTGGACGAATTGGTAACCAGAAAGGCAATTCGAGAGTGTGTTATGGGGAAAAACGAAGTATGAGAGATCCTTGTGCGCCCCGCAAGCATCAAGGCGCATTTAGCAAATCACTACATTATGCTGTCATTATACATTATACGTAGAGATAAGTTGCTTTTTTGACTTCTGAGAATTAAATGTGTACTGCTCGGGGAGATTCTTCACCAGTAAGCTGCAGAAACGTAAAGTGCAATTTATTGACTTAGTGTATGCATTCGGGATGGTCATTACTTACAGGCGATGGACGACAAACTGGTAATACGTAAATTTATTGCAGCCGTTAAACCAAAAATATTTTTCATAATTGTTGAATGGTCTCTTTTCAACAAAAGCATCATGAGATCTGTCATTTGAAGCAAACGAGTAGAGTTTCTCGAAGAAGAAAATTTGTTGCGCCATACAACCACAGAATGTAGAAGCGATGCCTTTGTATGCCCTTTCAAGACACTATACGCATCCAGCAGTGCTTAATCGCACTTTTCGGGAAATAATAATCTAAAGGACTCTATGGGAACGCAAAAATTGAATCTGCGAAAAGTTACTGACATTTAGCCAACAGGCCATGGGTGACTGGCTTGATGCAGCAAAGAACTATCGCACAAGTCCACGAATCGGTCCCTTAGTGTTGATTTTTCAAAAAGACAATGAGTGCAATCGATTTAATGACGTCTGTTTGGAAAATATCGAGTGGCCAGTTGAAGCTTTGTAACATTTCAATGCAAAACGTTCTCTTTAGTTTAAATCGGAATTTAAAGCGTGGATACGAAGGTAGTCGACTGGCTCTACAAAAAGAGGGAGAAGTTTTTTCTGGTTAAATGGGGAGAAAGTGCCTAGACTAGATTAACAAACGCGTTTTCAGAAGAGTCGCCGATTAATATTTTGACCTAGAGGATTTCCGGTTTGTCATATGATAGTTTCCTGAAGACAGAAACGAATACCAATTCTAAAAGATGCATCTAATTGCACTTGTAAATTAGCCTGGTAGGCAGATAATTTTGCTGATAAAATCTTCCGAAGTCGAAAAATATCACAAAAACACTGTCAGGAAACTTCTGACGATGTATGAAGTTTAAAATTGCTGACGCATTGAGGAGCCTGTCAACCGAGTGAGAATAACGCGCGGTTATTCCGCTGAAGCTGATGGATCTCTGTTCAACTATTCTCATTAACCATCATTCGAATCTGAGAAGGTCCCCGCCGAGGAATTAACTCCGAGTGTACATATAAATTTGCAGGGAAGCTGAAACGGCTCAACAGTGCAAACTTAAGTGCATGCCAGCAAGCCCTGAGGGGACGCAAGCGGACCCATGGATAAGGCATAACTCTCGCAGCTGCGCCATGTAGTCGCGCAAAATCAAAGAAACGCGCGTCTGGACTTCCATCTCCCACCTGTTCTGCGATTTTAACACATTAATTTCTATTGCCACACCCCTTTTTTAAATGGATTCTTCAGAATATCAGCCGGATTTGTATGTCTCATGAGAAGAAAAAGCTAAGAGTCATAATGTTGTAGCATAGGACGGGCTTCGGGGTTCAGCCTGTCCAGAGACATGCAAGCGGTAGCGATAACCAGCGGCCACCAATTTCCTCAGTTAACCCACTGACGTTAAACGAGTACACTATGTGCTGCAATCTTTTAGGAAAGTACATCTCACAAAACCTGTGGTTCGTCAGTTTTTGTCTGAATTTCGTAGTAGTCGTGGTTTTTATTTTCTTCACTGCAAATTTTAAGTCATAAAGTAAGCATGCAGTGTAATCAGGATGTGGCGAATTTAAAAGTACAAAAGGTTGAAATTTATATTATTTAAATAACAAAGAACTATTTGAAAAGGTGGAAAAAGCATGCACAAAAGTTTTGAGGAAGTAAACTGAGACCACAAAGAGTTCTTCATATCTTCCAGTGCAGACTAGGTCCTGGCAAGAGCAAGTAAAGTACTGTTTCTCCTCTTTGACATGTTAGAGGTAAGGTATAAAAATCAAGCGTCGTCAAGGAAAATTTGCAGCTCAGGATCTTATTGCAAGCAGTAGGGGGTTTTGTCAGCCAGCTTTGCTAGTATTGTTTCGGTCAAATAAGTGCATCCTAATTTCCCAGGGGACCGACAATTCGCCAAATCACCAAAGAAAGACATTGCTTTGACGTTCAATTCTGAGTCGGCCCAGATCTAAGAAAGTTCTGTTTTAAGTCAGGAGTTTTAGAAAGACTAGCTAACTAGATAATTGCAAGCAAGGTGAGACGTTTGCTGAGCTGGTCCTTGAACCAACCATGACAGAGCTGAAAATTCGAGATCATCATCTAGTTGGATCATCAGACTTTTCGAAATTTTCGACACCAAGCATGTTTCAAGGCATTATTCGTATTTAGAAAACTATGAACTAACTTCAACGTATTTTTATATAATTATAGGACTGCATTCATCACGAAGTCAGACCATTTGAATAAAAACGGGGTCTCAACTGCAGTAGGTGTGCTAACTCATGAAATATTAACCGAAATTCTGAAATGCGTTTTCGACTCGAAAAGATTAGTTAAGTAGGGTTGTAATACTAATTATCGTGTAGCATATTCCTAAGATATTTCAGTTACTTCGGGATGCCGACTTTTGTATGAACTTCTTTCCGGCCGCCTGCAAAAATTGCACTCTGTAAAAAATGACCATATGAGTAGTGAAATTTTTCTCATTGATTTCCGATAGCCTTATAAGCTCAATCATATTTCAGAAAACATGCTCAAAACACCCACTTTGTTCGCTGGGCAGAAAATTACGTCCTCAGTAAGCTTCATATTTGACGGAAGGTCATAATTCGGTCTTAAAAATCTTTCTAATTATGAGAATTTTAAGACCGTGAAATGCCCGTTCATAAAGCATCGTGTCTCTGTATTTACTGGTGTTGCTTGCGAAGTTTACAATATGGCTCAAATCCACTGCTAAATTTTATGAACCCCATTTGGTTTCCTCTTAATAACGTGCGGAAATGTATGATTTCCCGTGCACGGAAAATATACAGCTTGCAGTTTGGAAACCCTGAATGCACGTTTAACAGCAGATAAGGTTCAAAATTATTCGGAAATTGGAAAAGCCTTTAAAGCAGAATTATACCCATCCCTTAAATATAAAATTTAACGAGGACATAATTTTCTACCAAGCAAGTAAAATGAGTGTTTTTTGCATGTTTTCTGAAATATGTTTGAATTCATAAGGACATCTAAAATCAATGAGAAAAATTTATACTAATCATGCAGTCGTTTTTTGCAGAGTGCTGTTTTTGCAGGTGGCCGGAAAGAAGTTCATCCAAAAGTCGGCATCCCGAAGTAACTAAAATATCCTAGGATTATGCCACACGATAATTTATATTACAACCTTGTTTAACTAATCTTTTCGAGTCGAAAACGCATTTTAGAATTTCCGCTATTATTTAATGAGTTAGCACATTTACGACAGTTCTCCCATTCGTAGATCCAGGCGTCAAAAACTGTGGAGTTATGGAGAAGCAGGAATTCATAGTGGATACATACATAAATACAATCAGAACCAAAGCATGTGCAGCGTGTTCATTGTCTAAACAGCAACTTTTCTATGCCCCTGCGCACATTGCCATTTAAAAAGGCTTTTTTAGAGTGATTTTGCAAAACGCTTCCTAGTCCTTATGTTTAGTAATCGTATATACTATGTTTCCACATTTTCCGATGATAATAGTGTTAGTAAACGGGCTGGTTCACTTTCTGTTGCACGTCCGGGTTTATCGGGCTTCGTCAAGTTTAATGTCTGCAAACTATTAAAGGAAGGCTTAGCAATCCGAACACGATTACAGATATGAAGTCCAGTCCCTTGTGCAAAAAGGAAAAAATAAAGTAAATGTCCACAATAAGCAAAGAACGGCCATACAATACAAACTTCATTTAGATAGAATGGTTTTCTTTAGTCCGAGAATTTAAAAAAAAACAAAGCGTAAAGTTCAAACATGCAGGGTGAATGGTAAATAATTGACTTTTAACACAGTACATTACAAAATTCAGAAAAATTCGCATCGATTAGGAAAAGGAAATAGTGTCACTGGGGTAAAATCCCTCCAATCTGAAAGGCAAGGTTCGTAAAATCAAAAAACATTATTACCAAATCTGCAATTGCTTATAAAGTTAGCTATGGTTGACAGTATGAGCGGTTATTTGGAATTCTCACTGGCAGCTCACATCTGACTGGAGAACTGAACAGTAGCGACGAGTGAACATTGATCGCGAGAGAGTCATGGATAAAAGACGGCAGCCGGGATGTTCGTTTATGGCCTGCCGTGCCACAACTTAAAGACCGGAAGTTCCTAAAATTTAAATCCTAGCCAACAGATTTCATATCTCCCGACTTTTGCCGGCATACAACGGCAAGTGAGTCGGCAATTTGCAAGCGCCAAATCTCTTTGCCTTAGAATTCAGGAGGACGTACATGTATTTCGCAGTGCAGTTCTAACCCTATGATAAAAATATAACGGCTTCAGCTCATCAATGAATTTCAAGACACTCTCCACGAGGCCTCCCTTAGTAAACCAGTTGGGAAAAATAAGTTCCTAATGTATTCCAAATGCTTGAACAAAAGTCGGGTAGAGTGGACAGTCGGCGAATCATTCGGTTTGTGCAGTGCGTCAGTAAACAATCTAGTCGCTGCTTCTCACTTTCGGTCGACCAAGCGCATAGTATTCATGCCATTAAGGGTTGACCTTTATGTTGCCATTCGAAGTGTTCCAGAAAACCACTGTAACGCACGTTGGGCGAAAAGAACACATAATGGGCATAAAGCAGAAACACCCGACAATTTGTATTAAAGGCCAGAGCCTGTTTGAAATTGTGCTAAGAGCCATAATTGCAAAAACTGTAAATGCGCTCAGTTTGCAAATAAATGGTTGACGACGGGAAACAGGGCAGTCTCATTACACAATCATAAGTAAAACTTAATGCAATGTAGGATTTCGTCGGAAAATTTTTGACTTAACCGGATTTTTTCATAAATAGCCGGAATCGAGAGTACTGACCTCCTACAGCAGTCACCAGAGTTATGTCCCGTAGAACCGAGGCGGGCGACATCCACTCAATGCGTATACAAGACCTCCAAGTTCACAGAATTTGCACCACTTGGCTCGATCAGATGCCAGTGCAAATTTGCAGAGTACCCACCAATTGTCCCCAATCCCTGGCCACAGCCTGAAAGAAGTCTACGAGCTGCACTTTGTAGAACCGAAATGTACGAAAACTAAAAGACAACTCAAAAAGCCAGCGTATTGATCTGCTTCCCGCTAACTACGAGTTCAGATTCCACTGCAAAGAAGTGCACTTTAGTTTTCGGCCATGGCTCCATGCCGTTACATGATTGCATTTTGTGCACGTTCTCGGGTGATAGGATCTTTCGGGATTTAAAACTGTCCTAAGCCGTTGAAATAACTCGTTTCGTAAAATTGTTTCGAATGGGAGGGCGATTACTTCAAAGGCTCGGTTCCCTAATGCTCCTGGTTCTTCAGTGTCTACCAGATAGAAATGGCAGCATAAAACTTGTGCACGGCATGATCTGATGCCTCTGTGGGCGTCTGGTCTTGTTACGAGACTGGTCAGAAAGAAGACTCAACTGGATGAGGCTACGGTTACAGTCGCCCTGCCCTACGCCCTGCATCTGCGACCCTTGTGTATGCTGGCTAAAAAAATGTCAGAGCCGTTCACCATGGGTGGATTTTGAGAATATCATGGCTTTGACTGACAGCCAGTGACTTCACCGTGAAAATTTGTCACTGGCCAAAGACACCTCCAGTTGCAACACCATGAAGGATAGACGCCTCGGATATTTCGGTAACGCACTCTGCCTACCCGAGAAAGACCTCGTCCGTGACAGAAGCCCTCCAAACTCCAGCCTTAATTGGCGGTATGGTCGCTGTGTTCAACTTTTCGAGCATGAACAAATGTGGTCAAGTAAGTGATGGAAAGTATTTGCGGTTGACGTTTTCGGTTTTGGGGACTAGAAAGCCAAATGGCTAACGAACGCGCTGAGGTTACAGTACAATGGCAAAATACGCGCCGCAGACGTTTGCTATAACGTAGACAATGGAGTCGGTAAAATTTGTGAAAACTGTGAAAAATTCAGCGCCTCGGTGGGATTCGAACCCAAGATAGTAAGAGGAAGGCTTTGGTACAGCCAACACCCTAGCCACCTGAGCTACGAGGCTCCACCGGGAGACAGGACTTTAATCACACCTGGGTCACGTTACTCGCCCAACCTACCGCAACGTCTGAAATCCACCTGGGCGGGTAACTTGGCCCAAATTTGATTAAACTCATGTCTGCTGGTAGGGCCTTGTAGCTCATGTGGCTAGAGCGTTGGCTGCACTAAAGCCTTCCCCTTGTTATTGTGGGTTCGAATCCCACCGAGGGGCTAACTTTTTCACAGTTGGACCAATATGAATTATTCACAATCTATTAAAACCGGTGATAACTGTCGCAAGTGGGCGTCGCAAACATGATCATTTTTATCAAATGACCTCGAGAATATCTCACTAAGTGAAAGAAAACTCTGTCTATGTTTGTTTAATCGCCACGTCTTCTTAATCCCTTTCCTGAAGCGCTTGTGACTAACCGGAATTCTAAAAATATGAAGAGAAACATGAACTTTGCACGACGGACAAAGCTGAACGATTTCATTTAAGTAAACAAAAACCCACCTTTTTAAACCTTATTGTTTGTGCTTGGGATTTTTTGTACTCCTTTCTAACGACTTGAATTGCAGTATTCGGTTATTAAAATCACTCTTCAATAGGCCCACATACAGAGATCTAATCATATTTTGCGTAATGACACGCATTTACTTTAAATTTTTCCGGCTTAGACACTCTACCCTGAATAATGGCTAACATAGTGAAGCAAATCAAGAACGAACTGCCAGCCGGGTAGACTTGAAAAGCAGCATCGAGGTGTAGTGGAACTCATCTTTCAATTTCAGTTATAAGAATTAGTCGAGTCCACTTATTGTGAGATGAACGTGAAGCCCAAAAGTTTCCATAAGTGGTATCTGCGGTTATTGGTAAAGTAGAAAAGTAATCGCGTCAGCCGAAACCAAGTTTGTGTGCCAGACAAGACATTATGTAAGTAATAAGAGGAAAAGTAACGATCATCTACGTCCTTAGACTATAAGGACAAGCATTTAAGGCAACAAGTTGGCTCATGCCGTGGACGCGCAAAAAAAACCCACGCGTAGATAGATATAGTAGCGTCACTTGTGAGGGTCAGTTGTCAGAAACCCCGGCATCGCTACGAGAGGATATAGAGGATGATTAATCGTTTGTACAGTTGCTCAGAAAGATATGCGCAGCTGCAAAGAAGGTCGTATTTCGAGTGTTTAATGAATCACTGATGGGATCTTCGAATCAGTGTGACGAAGTTGAAATTGAAGTTTAAAGGCAATTACTGGTGTAGACTACTAATGATTCGGCAGAATTCCACTTCTTTACGAGTATAATCTGTTCACTGCCACAACATGGATAGGCTGTTTATATTTATGCGGGCAAGAGGTAGTCTCTTAGCATGCACGTAAATTGTACCACCTACCGAACTCGGGTCCTTTGGTCCTTTTGTTACAGTGCTTGGACAGCGGGATGTTCCACAGATTTTCGCCACTGCCTTCAGACACTCAACTAGCTCCCCTATGGAGAGCCAGTGAAGAGGCTCGGTTGCATAGTTCGACCCCACCACTGAATCCTTATAATCCTCTTCATTGGTCGCCTGTTTCTGTGTCTCAAAGGAATCGGACAGCGAAGCCGAGTCCTCTCTTTCTACCGTAGGCCTTCGACCAATGGCGCCGAGCGATGCATGCATCTGGAGGTATAAATGGAAAGGGTAGACCATGTTGGCGAAAAAACAAATTCTTGCAGGCGGAGATTCATAAATAATAGGGAAGCCAGCACCGTGGTGAATAATGTTTTTAAGAAATCACAGGCCGTTACTAAAGTTAAGCTACAAAGAGAAAAGATACTTTGCTGATTTCTCGCAAATATGAAGATATCGAAATTCCAAATGTGATAGTTCTATTCAAAAAGAATGACTTTGGGGATATTAACGTATTGCCGATACAAGCGGAGATCCGAGTTCCAGGAGCTAGTTAATCAGAAGAAGAAGAAGAAGAAGAAGAAGAAGCGATCGCTGGAACAAGGGCTTTATTCGCCTGACGTCTCGGATTCTCACTTGAATCCATCATCAGAGACAGTGGCAGAAATGGGTGACTCGTGCACAGGAAGTTGCAGTATTTATAGGATGCAGTCGCTATGCTACCGCATACCTATAGCAATTAACTACGCTCCCTTTCATCAAGGATTGTTGCCCGCTGGTGTGCTAATTGCTTGATGGCCGGCATGCAAGTTATTAATTGCCGAAATATTATCACCCGTGTTGGATGAGGCCAAAATTATCGTGAGAGGGGATAATCGCGTGAGCCGCGAGTTGCTTGAGTCATGGTTCACGAGACCTCGGTCGATCAACAAGTGTAACGACATCCCCACTTCATATTCCGTATAGAGGCATAGGCTGGCCAAAGTAATTGACCACTCGGGGAGCGCGCAAGCCGGTGAGCCAGATGGCCGAGCAATCATCACGCCAGCCAGCGTCTCAACTCTTGAGAATCAGATATGAGGCCGAAAACCACAATTTTTGTCCGTGTTCACTACTTTCTACTAGCCGTGTTATAGCATATGAGTTCAGAAACCAACTGATCTTTAACATTAGATAAGCAGGATAATTTGGCTGCTTTGGAGTATGCACATTGGATCCATCAAAGGGTTTCGTTTTTCATGGCGAAAGCTGTATAACACGCCGGACTCGCGTAGTGAAAAGACCGTTCCCAGGTGCCATGTCAAAATAGGCAATGACGTTCTGTGACGTAGGTTTATTTCGGGTGTAGCCTCGCAAGGTGACTTTTCTCGTCAAGGCCCGACGATGTCTTACTACTAGACTCCATTTGCGCGCCTTGTTATGTATGTAGCGCAGATAGTCGCGGATTGACAGCCGTTCTCCCTACTCATCACTTGCTTCAGTTTTGTCATGATCATCGTCCTTTGTTTTCCGGCCACATGTGGGGTCAGTTCTGTTCCCACATCAATTGCTCCTCTGGCCATGCGCGGTTGAATCTACTGATCGAGAAATCAAATTTTAAACTGTCTGACTCCGTACTACATTCTATGATAAACAAGGCAGCTCGGAAAAGCGAGGTAAGCATTTCCAGTGTGCGTTCAAGTGGAATATATTGCCTTGGTAAGAATGCGCGGCCGGCTCTCATGAAATAGGCAAATTTAAGAGCTCTAACATGCTCGTCGCTGATTGAGAAGTTTACCGGCAGTTATTAGCCAATCACGTCCGAAATAAAAGCAGTCACTGGGTAGCTTGCAATTTCCCCCAAGTGTTCGAGGCCTGTATAACCTCAATCATAATTGGTTACATGAGAGTAGCGTGCATGGGGACACCCTGACTGCAGGACGATATTTAGCACACTTTCGAGTTGCTTTCTAGCTGATAGTTTGCATACCACTGAGGCTGTCGCATGCTTACTAATAAGCAACGATCTAAAATGGAGGTAGATCCGCGGTCATTCCTCTGATGCAGAATATTCCCGATCTGAGTCGACATGGCGTAACCTTGAGTTGAGGCAGGAGCGTTCCTCGATGGCCAACTGACTCAGGTTGCAAAAGGGGACGCGCCGTCTACTGATCGGCTACCGATCAACGACGACGTCAGATAAGCCATAAATTGCCTTTGTAGGGAAAGCTTCACGAATCTTCATATACCAGAGAAGTTGTTTTGCAAATTCAAATCTTGCACCCATTTTGTATAAACCTCAATGTTATCATGGATTTTGTGCACGAAGAGTGAGAATAGTTCGGTCTTACCAATTTACCGGGACCTGTGTACTTCGAGATAACTTGTGCTTCGCCCTTTTCTACGTTTTGTATTACATTTCGCTTCTATTTTATGAAATAATTGCTTATCCCCAACTTTCTTTACAAAGAGACCTCCCTGGTCTAAAATATTCCGAAGGATGTCAATCACCTGACATAAGAATCCAGCAATAGAAGGCTACACAACTCATCGCGTCAACCTTTAAAAATTCTATATAACTGCATGCGCTCTAAAATTGAAACACCCACCACCTTCGAGTATGGAACCAGAGGGAGATGCCACGTCTCGTAAAATTCGTATATGAGCTGAACGGTTTGCGCCTCTTTCAAGGGAAGTCAAATTGTATTTCTAAAATTAGCAAAACTAAATTAAAAAGTACAAGCTGCTTGGGTAGTTATGTTTTTAAGGGTGAAATTTACGTATTTAGTCGAAAAGATGCTTGGGTGAATGACCATACAGTAGAATAAATGCATTCATTTATGACCAATTTCTCCGCTCCCCACAGCAGAAACACCATCATAGTAGTCTTTTCCGCTGGAATGCATATCGCAGACGCTCAACAATGTTGCCTGCATTTCAGTGCATACTGCGCGTCCAAATCAGTGACCCTCGACCACGTTCATAAAGAGGCGATCTGGTTAGTATCAGAAATAGATGGGCCGTTAATAGCATACCATAACGCATCATCCGACGGCGTTATGCGTGGAATGTAAAAATGTATGAAGAGGATAAGAAAAAGATAGTAGGGGCGTTTTGTTGAGTAGGTGGTTCAACAAAAAACGAATTGTATTAGGTTTACATTTATAAAGCCCTACCCTTTTCATCTCACAACTGACATCTGCAAATCAAGTCGCCGTGTCGCTTCGTCGTCGGATTACATATATTTCAGGCGAAAAGAAAGGCTGTAAAGGATAAAACGATATTATAAATAGATAATTAAAGACATGCAAGGGCTTTTCAACAATACGGACGAGAACTCGTCGGGCTAGGCTCTACTCTGTACGTAACAACTTGCGCTGAATAAGAAAAAAATCAGTGGAGAGGTACCAATTGTTCACAGTCATAAAGTCATCCGAGAGATGCGGCGAATTTTATTGTGCTTCGAAGGGCCAAAATCGATACAATATGTTTAGGTGACTGTGTTCCGAGTTCATTCAACAATGTGAGGCAAAAGTATAAACTATCGCGTGCTGGTTGAGGCTATATTATGAACCCCTTGGGAAATCTTTCACACCAATCAACAACAGGAAATCATTACCGAGTGTAAACCTAGATAAATTCTCAGGATGGAACAAATTACATAAATACCATCCCAGTCACAGTAAAAGCGTGTCATTATTTCACAAAAAAAAACATCTCAAGAAACGACCGTTCTCGGGAGTTTTTCATCAATCCAATATACTTTCATGATTTGAAAAACTGCGAGTGTATCACAATGACTGTCAGTTACCAGAGGGAAGCGGATAAAGTAAAAACAGAAACCACAATGAATTTCCCTAAGTATGGGAGGAGCGGAAATAAAAGACTACAGCTCGTGATCTACCAGCTGATAGCAAAATTTAGGTAATACGGGAAAAAAATGTTCTCCTTTGGTTCCTTAACTGCTTTTAAGTCTCCTCAAGTCATGCGAGGATGAGGAAATTTAGAATGAGCATACCGATGGATATCCCAAGAGGAGTTTTGTTCAGGCGCAACCTGAATTTATACTCATTGTAGTGGAAATGCACATAAGTACGGATGGGTGCTTCAACGATCATCTTTTTGTTGAATCTTTGAATGTATTAAATGGGCATCCTCAGGACGAATTCTAGCGGAGATATCTTCAACTAGGTTGAAAAGGTATAAGATTGCTTGGAGCTTATCCGCATAATACGTCCGGTAGGCGGAAGATGTTGTGGGGGGAATTCACTGTCAAGAATTTTCTTACGATTTCCACCTTATTTTTCCGAAAAGCGCCGGCTTAAATGTGTTACAGAAACAGAAGAACCAATCCTAGAGCAGGTCGCGGGGAGGAGAGAATGTTTGAGTAGAGTGTGGGGATTTCCAGCCTTCTCCTAATCGTACATATTTTGAGCTTTTGAACGTTTGCTCTCCCCTGTCGCAACCATATTGGCTCGCCGAAGACATTGCTTATAAGGTCCTCTTATATTGAGCCCTTTTTAATTGGTACGGTGTGGTGGTGTTTGCTTGCCTACTACAATACTTTTGTTGTGGCAGAAACACCGCCAATTTCCGATGGTATTTCGTAACATATTAATGGCGTCCAGTAATAAACTTTACATTGGGGAAGGAAGAAGAGAAGTTTCCTCCCTTTCGGCAACTTTTCTGCATAAAACATACGGTGAGGTAACTAAAAGAAGCGCCTGTTGGAATATGGCACGGTTATGAAAGGCATGTTTACTTTAATAGCTCTGTTCTTTTAAGCCAAAACATAAATTAAATCCGCTGGTTGATCAGCATGATAGTATTTTTCTATGGAATGCTTTAGGCGAATAACGAAATAAAAATGAATGTATGTCCCGAGCAGTTCATTTATAGAGATATTCCAGAACACTTGCGAAGAAGGGCGGAACAGCGACCGCACCAATAAAGAGCCCTCTCCTTTGCCCACGTAGAATATTCGGACCAACTCAATGTCTACCATGGCACAGCGTACTCCCACTCATTACCGTAAACACCCTCCCATCTTTGACATTTGTACTATTCTACACGGCTTCATCGATGGTCATAGATGATATCTTCCTCAATCTCAAACGCTTTCTAAGCGGCTGAATGAACGGCAGCAGTAAACTGGACAATATTAGCTAAACTAATAAAGTGGCTGAAGAAACCGACTATGAAAATAAGTATGACTACAAGAAAGAATTTATGAGATCAGATTTCGGGAATCAGCTTCGAAAAAATATCCACCGGAAGTCTTAGTAGTTGGCTTTCTTTTTATTCCACGATTTGGTCCACGCGCTTGGCGAACCGTGTCGGGCCCGTGCGAGTCCTGATAAAGACATTCAGCCCACATCAGCGCACAGTCAATCTCATTTGCAGTTGGTTTATAGACCAAGACAGGGGAGAGAAAGGTCGATAGTGTGGAACCCACCTCAAAGCAAATATGCGTTGTCTTCACTACAGCCAACTGCCATGATTAAATATGTAACAACCAGATGAGGATAGTTAAATGAAAAACATTTAACCAAAGAAACAAGCTGATCATTTGCAAGATCGGTGGGATCCTAGGTACCCAAGGGTGACATGCTGCACTGGTGTGACGGCTAGATAATGTGCGGCGCGCACAGACGGCCGTTTAGTTTTGTCGCCACTAAGTTCTCCTGCAGTCATCTCAGTAATTCTATCGTCTTACCACCACAGCAGAGCAAAGAAGGGAGAAATGGGTGAGGCAATCGCATTGCAAGTCCACTTTACTGTTAACAAAGTTCCGTAAAAGTTGCCCCTGAGCCCATCTCGTGCAACTACAGCGAGCGTCGCCGACTGCGACGGTCGAAATGTCGCCTTTACAATAAAGGAGCAGTTACACGTAAAACTCAGGGTCGATATCTTGATATCTATAATAATTCACAAAAGATCTAGTAGCTTGCTGATGTTAGTCTACACACTCCGATAAGCCTAATGATTTTGTGTTATATCCTGGCATTACCCAAGATAGGTAGTCTTTGAAGGACGAATTAGTTTAGTACATTTTGCAGTATAAAATAGTGCAGCTGGAAACATCTTGGTTAATATTCATGAAGAAGACTGTAATAGCTCGGTAGTTTTTGGAAAACGACACGGCTCCTGAAACAGTTCTAGGATACACCGGTAGCGTTGTAATGCAATGGAAATAATATCAGGGTCCGACTGCTAGTTATATTTTTGTGGCTGATGTGCTGTTTCAGTGTAACCCGGACACTCAGCCCTTTCTGTCCAGCAAAAAAACACCTGTCGTCACAGAACGCAATAGAGTCTGTCGAGCAGCAGCTCTGATTAGTTAACGTACAAACGCCTTTTGTGCGAAACATAAAAAAGGGAAAATTTAACATTAATTCGACTTCGGCCGCAAGTGATGATCGAGGTAAGGGTGTTGTGATAATGCAGCAAATAATTTTTGCAAGATGAGGGAAAATTAGACTGCAACTTAGTTGTGAATGTGGATTGCATAATAATGAACGACAGTATACGGACGTACTGCGAGACCAACTGGTATCGCTGTAAAGCGCTGTACCGTTTCTCCTCGATAAACTGAACAAACTCCAGGCTTAGGCGTAACAAGAGTCGCTAATTTTTTAAAGCGAGTTTCTCTTGAGATTTATTAGCAAACTTTGCTAATAATGGTATCATTGTATAATGGTTGCTGATAGATCCCTAGTAGCAATAGATATCGAGTAGATATACGTGAATAGCGATTTATCGAGATATGTATGTCTGTCACGTAATTGGCCACCTCGCCTAAGCAATCTGGGATTTTATTGGTTGCCGTTCTTTAGTCGCATTTCGATTGCGCGCACACGCGGGCGCGCCATTATTTCGCGTGAGCGGCGTGGAACGCGTGAGTTGACAGGCTTACCGCAAGGAATAATGAAAGACAAATTAAATGAATCGTATTGGTTAGCATATCGAGTCAATACACCCTTAGTGTTGCGGATGGCTCAGTAAACAAAAAATGAAATGCTGGATGACAAAAAAATTAAAATGCCGTCTGCCAGTCAAAGTCCTGTTGCATAAAAGCAAAATCTGAAGGTTTTATTGCTAAGGTGAGATCGAAATTTACAGGTAGACAAAACTTAAATATCAATTTACATTTATTAAGACTCGCACAACCCACTTGGTGGGACAGCCATCTGAATACAGCGGCTGGTAAATGTATTTACGCTTGGACAGTTCAAACAAAATCAAAGATATTTAAAAAATGCTTCATTTTATTTGATGGAGATGAGAACCTGAAGGAGGAGACATTTCGTGAAACATACTATAATGTAAATGTATAGTTATTTGCTTTAAATCGCCTGATTAAAAGTGTACTTTTGGTAATCAGTCAATTTACTGGGAAGCACAGGGAACTACATCAACTGTCAGGACTTTCAGAGCAACTTTTTGGTGCGCAGCTGCGTTTACTTTTTTAAACCCTACGACTGGCAAGCCTGGTCTACTGCAGTAATTATTTAGTTGTCCTTCTTCCTAAATGGCCTGTGCCGTCTGGGAAACGCGTAGCCTAGCATCGGTTGAACAGGTCTCAAAAACATCCGTGTCCCTTGATGGTGGTAACCCTTCGCGTACTTAGTTACGTTGGATCTCCCCGAGCAATTTTTATATGCGCATCTTTTATAGGCATAATAGAAATCCTATGTATGTTTTTTATTTCACAAAAATGGCAGCCTTCCTATGATCATCAAGGTTCTGCTGCTTGAGCTTCCTTAGGCCAGTAAGCTGATTTTCACTTTGTTTTACTCTGATCACGATATATGCACAATCATCACAAGGTCCATTCTCGTACTTCATACTCATCATGGTAACTACGTTCCTGATATGTTGTGATAGTCCTTGGTCGGAAGCGTAAATAGAACGATCGAAGATTCTGGATGCGAGGGCCACCGCACCAGACATGTCTTCTAAAGAGGTGCAAGAGCTGGTCTAACTACTACCACTAAATCACAGAAACCCCATGAAAACTGGGATAAGAGTGCAAATACGCCGTCGTCTTCGTCTTCGGATCGTTTATGAGGAAGTAAAGTGAGTATTTTAAACTCTGAGCGAAAAAAACCTACCCGGAATTTCGCAAATTGCATGATGTTTATTCAGAAACGACTCAGCCGTCTGCAGGCTTTGCGGTTATAAA